ATCTTTACAGAGGGCTCTCTAGAAGTTATACACACATAAAAAACATGTCTTAAGCTTAAGGCAGCATTATACAAAGTTGTATAGCTACTGCTTACCAACAGGCTTCGCGTGACGCATCTTGCGAAGAAGGTTAGCCATATCTCGTACGTTGTTGATCCGGGGTAAGAATCCTCGCGAATCCAGGTCAAGGATATATTGTACAAGTGTCTCTTCTTTAGTCAGGGTCAAAATGTGTTAAGCATTACGCTCTTTAGCCTTTGAGGTGCAACCCTTTATATGATTGCGGAGGGTAGTTTAAGGGACGTCATACATCTTTATAGCACGTCAGATCAACATTTCTTGGTTAGTATAGATATACTAAGACTAAGTTTCTTCTTGCCTTTAAAACTATCTACTTTAACATAATAATAGTTAAAAACATTAAAGCTAGCTTCTGAGGTACTAATCTTGTGCTGTATGACCCTCAGACTGTCTTATCTAAGCTTAACATTAAGTTACAGACGCTAATACTGACTAGACCTCCCCCCTCTTAGGCCGACCTATAGGTCCCTCAGATATCACACAATTCTAATAACGCTGTTTCACAATTAGAGCACGTACGAAATCAGATTGCTAGATATCAAGGAAGCTCTCTGACTAGTGTTTTTTTAGCTGTGAAGCAATTAGCGAAGGGTACAGAGCTGATTGCTCATTAAATGACTCTTTTGCATAAGGAGGTCTATATACTTCACAAGGCTAATAAGGCCCTTACAAAGCGTCAGAGGGCTAAAAAGACACGCGTACGAGCTGGAGGTGCACTTACTGTAGAGGATGCACATAGTTTAATTAAGCAGAAAGAGATTGTACGATCGCAGTTGAGTAGAAGGTCGGTGGAAGAGGGTGTCACGCAGACTAGGTCATTGGGTTTACGGCATTGTGGGAGATGTGGCAAGACTAACCATAATGTACGAACCTGTCAGGAGGTTGAAGAGACATCTGAGGAAGATAGCGATGTAGAAGATAATTGATTTTCTTGTGTTGTAGTTGCGTACAATAGTTAGAAGGTTGTGAAGTAGAAGAAAAGTAGGCGGGTTGCTTATATGGGCGGGCTGCTTATGAACCACGTTAATAGTACTATAAACAATCTATATATATAACACAGGCTCGCCGAATGCCCTAGGGCAGAGGTTAGAACCCTCGACTACCCAGGCTAAGGAGATCACTTAACAAAAGGATCCTACTTACTAAATAGAGTAATCTTAAGTAGAAGAAGAGGTAGGCAGCTACTTTACAAAGAAGAAGAGGCTGGCCACAAGCAACAATCTAGTCTACTCCTTAGGAGCAGGATACTCGTATGCTGTACGCAGGGCTAACAAAGGCAGAGTTAATAGCACTATTCTTAATGCAGTCAGAGATTATAAGCCTGAACGCATAGTTAGCAGCTATCTAAGTACCAGATACTAACCCTGCCTGCGCCTGCGGCTAGCATATGTAAACAGTTCGCCATATCCTGCTACACTGCCTAAGATACAACAGAGTAAGCATGCTAGCTGCCTGCGGAACAGAGCACATGAGCGAGATCCTCTCCCAACCCGCAAGCGCAAAGCATGCGGCTCGCTGGTTTATCTGTACAGGGATCCTGGAGCAATTTCGCACTGCAAAGGAGATAGCGGAGGAGGAGTTAGGAGGGTACAGAGTCTTTGAAGCAGCAGAGGAGTGGTAGTGGTAGAGGTTGAGACCCTCAGAGATATTCAGAGTATGGTTGAAAGGACGACTATACAGGAGGGGGCAACAGGTTCGCAGGCGAAACGCAGGTAGGGCGGAGATGCCCTGCAGGGTAATCTCTAACCCTCTGCGAAAGCTACGCTTGCCTAGTCTAATAAGACTAGGGTTTTCCTTATTAGGCTTTTCCCTTGCTAGGCAGCTGTCTGCATAGCCGTATAAATAGGGACTGAACAGACGTTAAATAAAATAATATATTTAATAATTAGCTAAGTTAGCTAGTTATTATTCTGATTTTAGTAGTATTTAATGTCTTTACTATCTAATTAAATGCTAATTAGAAGTATAGCACTAATATAGCCTCTAATATCTATAGCTATTACATCTCTTTATACTTGCTGATTCTGCTTAAATTTGTTTGATTATTCGTTAGAAGCGTATTTGTTTGTATGCTCTGTAATCTGCGTAAATAGTTCTTTTAGAATAAATCAATAGAATAGATCAATTAGCGTATATTTATAAGGGGGTAATAGAACTTGACCTGGCGCAGATAGTTTCAGAACGTTCAGCTTTTGAGAGTAAAGGCGAGGAGGGCTAATGACTTCGCGAAGGATTTGTAGCTTTTCTGAATTATTTTGAGTCGATTCAACTTGGTATTGCCACTCCTCCTTCTTTTCTCTATTCTGTGAGTTTATATCAATTCTTTTAGAGCTGCTTTGGCTGCTTGATAGCTGTCGTGATTTTTCGTTCGATTTTGAGGAGCTCAAAATCGAGGAATCTGCATCTGTAGACTGTGCCGCAGCTGCGGTAGACTCTGAGGAAAGTACTTCGAATGGCTGATTTTGAGCTTGATTTTCGAGGGCTTTTCGACTTAGAATTCGAGCTCTCTTTGGCCGAGGAAGGTCTTTAGCTAATGGAGCAGCTTCTATAGTTTCTAGAGGCCCTGATATCTCTTCTTGGTGGTGCTTTTGCGTCATTGAGTTCTTGATATGTACTCTATTCCTACTGCGCCACCACAGCTATGGTGTTGTACCGCAGAAATTAAGGTTTAAGGTTACGAGCACTAACCACCGCTAGTGCCAAATTGGGACCAATCAGAAAATTACTGCATTTTACCGCGGTTTGGTGGATAACCAGGCCCCCTTCAGACGAGAGGTCTAAGCTGGGGCTTTAGGGTAGCCCAGAGGCCCAGTTTCGTGCTTCAGAGCCAAATTTTAGGACCTTGAGATCTTTCAACTGGTCCCTTATAGACGACTACATAAAGTCGCCTTATCCCTCAAGGAGAGATATCCGCGCGCAAGGCATGAGTATCCGCTGAGAGCAGGGGACCGAAAATGGGACCAGGCAGAGAGGCGGCCAGCCTGAACAGCTAGAGTGGGACTAAGCTGAGGCTAATTCTAGTCACATATTCAATATGTGAGTCTTATCCTCCCGCCCAAAGTCGCTGCAGAGAATTCTGCACGGGTGACACTGCCTGTATCAACAAGTCCAGCAGCGCTAGGCTCTCAGAGGCTATTAGAATGCCATGCATATCTATCGGACGTCGAATCTAAAGAGACTAAGCACAGCTCTGCCGCACCAAAGGGCGAGGCTTTCAAAGAGAGTAAATGGTTCCCGCGTGGATGGACACTTCAGGAACGCCTGGCTCCCTTAAAATTAGGTTTCTATGATAGTGCGCCGAATCATATCGGCACACGAGGAGCACTATCACATGAGATTTCAGCAGCTACAGGTATTGATGTCGTTTATTTACTGGTCTCTGAAACAACTGGAGAACACTTCACTCAAGCAAGCGTTACGAGGAGGATGAGCTGGGTCTCCCGGAGGGCGACCAGTCAACTCGAGGACATGGCATACTGTATGCCAGGATATTTGATGTCAATATGCCATTGATATACGGGGAAGGAAAGAAGGCGTTTATGAGACTGCAACTTGAGATCATCAGGAAGAACGACGACGAGTCAATCTTCGCCTGGACCTGTGAAGAATCCCGCCGGTGATGGTTAGCTTTGTGGCCTACAGATTTTGCAAACTCGAGACGCGAAATGAGGAAGTTTAACCTATTCCATAACCAATAAAGGTCTGGAGCTCCGTACACTAGTTAATTTTTGGGCCTCTAATGATGACCACAAGGGTACGATGCTAGACGTCGGACTGAATTGTTGCCGCGGGGAGTACAAAACGGCTCATTCGACCACGATCTTTTTGCAGAAAGAAACATAGGAACCACTGGGAAAGGATCAAACAAGACAAGCTCAGGGTCGGCAGTACCAACACAGCTCTGTGAGGAGAACTTGTAGCATGTCATAGGGTGCTGCTCCTAAGGTTGTGACCTTATATAAAACAAGTGGGAATGTGAAAACAATATGATCTACTATATCTAGGTTTAAACCATATTTAGGTGCTGGACTAGATATCAAAATATTTGACAGTCCTTATATGTCGACAAAGTCGAGTGACTCTACCTTGTTGACTGTAATCTGATAGGATATTATTTGTACGTCAGTCATAACTTTGATAAAAAGACTTAAAAGAAGGATTTTATGAGAAATGTGATACATAATTACTACGAATATATCTTTTTGTACGGGACTCGAGTGATCCAGTTCAGCCTACGTACACAGAAAAAACCCAGTTTTACGTACAGAGAACCCCGAAAAGGGAGGCACCACACTCGACGCCCTCACACGATCATGTCCGGCCTCAGACATCCGTCGTATTAACAAGGATGGTATTTTTATTTTATGAGGGAGGAGATGGGGGGGGTCGAAGAAGAACCGCTGTGTTGGGACCCCTGAGTTGCAGCCGCTTGCCCCCAAGGATTTATAGCCACCCATAAAAGAAAAGGTGGGAAAACGTCAGAGAGTCCGCGACAAACGCTATTTTTTCGGCTCTCAATACATAGATAGGGGATAGGATTCTGCTCTTAAGCATATGGAATCGTACAAATCTTTCTCTGTTCAAGATCTCGCCGACATCATAGTTTTTCTTGTGTGAGAGGGGGGAAAGAGGCATACTCCATTCTGCATAGGGGGCTTATTGGTTGTTATTTAGATGATGATTGTCTGGTCAAAACATATCGCCAGCGATTACTGGGGACAGGCGCAAATCCGACCTTACTAATCATGCACCGGGGCTCCCGACCATCATGTCGGTGGTACTCTTCGAACAGATTTTTGATACTGCCGTGGTCGCTGTTGGTGTCGTTATTGTGGTTACAGCTGCTGCCGCCGCCGTCACCGTACTCTCCTCCCAAATTGGCAGTCCCCACCACCACGCCGGGATCATTATTCTCGAATCTGGCAGCGACAAGGCCGGCCACGCTCAATTGTGATTTTACGCTCCGTGCGTCACCAGCAAGACATGCGAGCATAGTTAGCCCGATGCCGAGAATTACGTAGACACCCGTCAAGGCGATCAGGGTCCACAATGCCGCTTTGGGCACGCAGGTGACGACTGATGTTGTGCCTGTCCTTTCTGCCAGGCTGGGTACTTCTTCGAATGCCGCGATGGAAAATGCTAGTGATGTCTCGCTGTACCATCGTCCAAAGGTATTTGCGGTTTCCATTTCTGAATAGGCTGCAGCCATGGAGTATAAGAATCTCATTTGTAGTGAGGGCTGGACTACTTGCTGGGCGATCATCATCGGCCCATTGATGCTCTGTGACACGTCTAGGATACTCGGACTGATGGTTTCAATCGTTATGGTCTGGTTCACAGATCGATATATCACGTCGTAGATGGTGCTATTGCAAGCAACAATAAAAGGAACATTGCCAATGGTCGAAACTAAGGCTTCATCAGCTGTGGCCGTCTTGTTGTAGTTTGGTGGTGATCCGGCGAATACGGCCGCGACGCCAAAGAGATGTGGATTTGTCAAATTGTATCTTGACACAGTTTCGTGACCTTTCTGCTGGAAGAGCTTCTGATAGAATTTCTCCCGATCAAGGTCACCATTGAACTCTTTACCATTTGATACGTCCATGAGGGTCATGTTAGAGCAGTCAAATAGTTGTTTTTGACTATAAGCTTCCACACTCCTCGGCATGCATTCACGGGTAATTGGTACGCAGTTTGTTGCACTGCCAACGGTTTTGGCCCGCCAATCTGTGTTTATAGGTGGCTTAGACGGGACGAGAATCGCAATCTGTTGTCCCTCGTATGTCTCCACGGTAATGTTGTTGGACAGGGTGGCGCCTAGGACAAGCTGGTAGCTCTCCGTTACATTTTTGGGATAATAAGCCGAGCCAGAGTGGTCAAGATTACATGGGGTCCTTTCACTAGGAGATGTGTAGGGATTCGCAGCCAGAAACTGATTATCAACGCTGGCATTCTCGTAGTATTGCTGACATGTTGAGGACAAATTTCGTCCGAAGTTGAAACTTGGCGACGAAGAAGGGCCAATGCTTGTGCATATGATGGGCTGTATACTCCTGTGGAGCCATGCATCGACCACTTGACATAGGAAGCTGTGATGTAAAAGCAAATTCAGTCAAACCATGGTCGGGCATAAACGTGGGAAGCCGCTTCAGATTTTCGTACCTCAAGCACATCACAAACGATAATGTAACTAGTGCCAACTTGACCACGTAAGTCATTGGTACTCGCCTTGAGCGCCACTGAAACAGATATTTGCAAACATCCCAGAGGGACCACGCATTTCCTGTCAACAAACTGATGAGTAGGCCCGTTTGAAATGGTGAGGGTAACCTTGTCGGATTTGGCTCCGTCGATGACTGCATCAGGTCGTAGGCAATATTAAACGATATGAGTGTCATGACTGGAGCTGACAAATAAGATGCTACCTTGCCGATCACTGATGCCAGGAACGGGATCGCACCAGCTCTATATTTGACAATGTACGATGGTTCTGTGCAGTGCCCACGAATATAGCCCGTGGTTTCGAATAAGTCGTTGCCGGTGAGGGAGATATTTATTTGATGCTTGAAGACAATCACCAACATAACAAGAGCAATTGTAGCCATAGGTAGCGTAATGAAAGAACAGGAGAAGATGATGCCCCAAGCTCTCCTCTTGAAGTGACGGTTTCTGAGCTGAGGGGTTTTGGTTTGGCTCACAGGGTGGGAATGTGAGAGCATCCCGTGAGTGTTTCCGCCTTGGACGTTTTCTGCGCAGCAATTAATTTGATATATAGAGTGATTCGCTTTGCATCCACATTACCACTTGAGATGACCGTGGTGGCCTCACTTAGCGAATGCTGAAGGGAATCCACACTATCAGACAACCAAGTATATGTCGAGATTGGGATACTTCCATCACTGTGAGCATATTGTTGGTTTTGCAAAAAGGTTACTGGGTTGGTCGTGCTGGTAGCAAGTGGTTTTCGCCGGATTCGTGGTGTTCTTAAGATTGGCATCATCTCCCGCAGATCGATATCGTGGTCTAAATCAGGCGATGATGCGGAAATAGGCGAGTTGAATTCCAGGCTTAGGAAGTTCGATGTGGTAGATGAAGCTCCGGCTGTAAATAATTCTACCGCGAGCCAACTTTAAAAATGGTCTTTGCTCCAAGGGAGACATAGCTAGATACGCTGAAAGATGAGGTGCACTGGGACAGTATATATCATATATCCATAGAACCATTTTGAGAGTGGCAGGGCAAGACCCATATCTGCAAATCCAAGGGCTAATTCGAGGGTCAGAGTGCCAAGTCTGGGGCCTTCGGGCCAAATCTGGGGCCGGAGGGCCAAATCCAAGACGAACCCAGGGTCGAGTCAGAATAGATTAAAACACTTGGAAGATCATCATTCTGCGAAGATAGCTACAGCCTTTGACCGTGGGCGGAGTTGAAATTTGATTTGGCCGTTTGGCTTCAACGTACGACGCCAGACCCCGGATGACTAACCGGAACAAGATAGGTCGAATAGGGGTTCCGATGCAATGCTTATTGATCTGCAGACAGCTTGGGAATTTATGAGCATAATGGTAAGTCTGAAGGAAGCACCGATCACATGGCACATTGTTCGCCTACCTGTCATCAAGGCTGGAAAGAGTCGTTGGGACCTCAGCTCTACGGCACGAGCAATGGTTGGTCATATTGTCGATGTCACGCTGGCTCGGATGCCCAAAAAGCTGATTCCAGAACTGGTATCAGATGGAAACAAGTTAGACGCTGTGGAAAGATAACAGCGATAATATATGTATGGCAGGTAGATAATCCATCCAAGATCTTCTGAACATATTAGATAAAAAAGAAAGCAGCGAATCTCCTGCAGTCGAGCACAATGTCGTTGCTCAACTGCTTGATCATCTGGAAGTTGGCCCATCAGGGGTGTTGTTCCTTCTGACAACTGCTGCTGGCTGAATACACGTGTTGTAAAGTACCGTAACTTATAGTAGATGGTGTGCAGTGGGACGTCTTGGCGGACGCCAAAGAAATAAGATTTGGGAACACCAAGTGACGAGGGAGATTCAAAACATAAGAATGGACTGTAACAGCGCTGCAAGTACCTTTGACCTGGCATCGAATTCGATGAATCGAGTTGGATGGACGATATATACGGTTCAAAAATCTCGGGCCCCCTTTACAAAATATCTCCTCTGAAGAACCAGATCCGCTGGTTTATGGCCGACTTCATGACTCCATAAATTACTGTGGACATTCCTTAGCGGCGGGGGCAAGCGTCTGGCAAGCTTGCATGAGGATCATGACCGTATCAAAGGGTTGGCTACTTTTGTTCCCCTTGGTGTAGAGAGGATGGAGAGTGTTCTGGGTACCATGACTCGCTTCGGTTCTTGCAGCAGAATCGGGCGGTTGCTTGAACTGGGGGTCGGGAAAGCAGCTGACGGAGCGAAGGGTTGTAAGCTGACAGAGCGAAGGGTTGTAAGCTGACGGAGCGAAGGGTTGTAAGCTGAGGGAGGGGAGAGCATGTACATTATATGGGAAAAGAGGAAGGTTGTAGATATTGGTGTATCTACATATGAATTTCTAGTAGAAAGTGTCTAATCCTAACTGTTCCTTCAATTGAAAACTGGCCCGATGTTCTTGAGGATTCTCTGAAGCTTATAATCAAATACTGAGACCTGTTCGATGAAAGCCTATCTCCCAATCCTCCTTCTCCTCCTTCTCCTCCTTCTCCTCCTCCTCCTTCTCCTTCTTCTGCATCCCTAGTACCTTTCTCGAACGTTACCATATCCGGATCGATTACACCTGCGCTCCCTTGACAATACACATGAGAAGCTTGGCTGTGTCATTGTACGCCACCCAAAGGGGGACATAAGAAATAGTAGACCAATCCAACAAAGCTATGTAGCTAGTTTTGAGCTCGGCTGGACACTGTCCACGAGTGATAAATGCAGGGACAAAGCTCTATCCCGAATTGAGTGCCAGAAACCTTCATGGTAGTCGAAGAAATTCTATAGTGGACCCACGGAAGCGAAACGAAATGAACTAGTCCTGATATATAATAGTGGATGAAATTTATGCTTTGTGACACATGGATTAAGGGCAAGAAAGTTTAATAAGCCGTGAATTTAACGGCGTATCCGGACAAGCAACAAGCAAAGTCCAAGACACCATGAAATATAACTCCTTCCTGCGACAGATTATGCCATTTGGAAAGTAGGAGTACCGATTAATCAAACGTGCAGGTGCAATAGAGTATGGCACGAGTCGCAAAATAGTAAGAACCGAGTCGGATGAACAGGAGAACTGGCGATATGAAAAGCATCGCCTATGATTGGACCTCTTTCGGTTTGAAAAAAGGGTGCTATAGATCCAGCCTAGCGTGGTGATGATCCTGACCGTATAGCAGACGGAATTTCTGTCACATAGGCTTGCGAGACGGTGCAATAATACCCTAATCGGATCATACAACATAACCTCCTCCTGCTAGGGAACGTAGGACAGATCTGAGGTAGGACGTCGGTAATGGCTGGACGGAGCGTGTAGAGAGGGTCCGTCACCACCTTAAGGTCCCAGAGAATGGGGACTAATATCGAAGAGTTCTGTTATAACTGGCGTCGTGTTGATTTGTAGGAAAGCGCTGAGAACAGAGAATTGGGCATCAGAATCGTGTTCTTTCGGACGACTCATCACGATATGCTTGGTACTGCTCAGTGGGCACGGCATGAAGAGCCTCAGCCGGTCCAGTTGCAAAGAGTAGGGTGTAGTATTTCAATGCACAGCATCCACAAAATGTGCAGTATACTGCAGCAGCTGATTCGGTCGCATTCTATTGCAGATCTCGGAAAGGTCAGGTTCCGTTCGTTGTATAGGTAGGATGGGCTCCGGGTCAGTAACAAGGTTCCTATATTGTATCTTCACTTTCTGGGTCGTTCGACCTCATAACATCAATCTGAATGACAGATTCACCACAATAGAGATTACAGAAGAGGCGGTTACCTTTCATGAAAAATTCACCGTGTCGTGTTGTGTTGAGCAATGGACCTTCATCAAATGCTAGATCAGCTGCTATATGATGGGCAATGCAGTCTGATGGTACAGTTCTGACAGCTTAATATTGAGCTGCAAATATTCTGTATCGACCCTCGAGAGCTGCGTACGTGTATATCCGTTGTAAGTACTGTGCTGTGCACTGTGGTTTGAAATGTCCTCCGTACCTCCGGGCAGTACGGCACATGGGTCGGGACATTCATACCCGAAAATCATCAGCAATCATAAACATGGGCTTACTGGCCGCTGACTTCCTCTAGGCGCACAGCCGACCAGCATGAGCTCGGACTCTGACGATGCTCTCGAAGCGTCATTTATCTTCAAAGAGCCAGAGGATTTCTATCCACCCGAAACGCCTCCCTCGTTTGCTCAGCATACCCTCCTCTCCGGTCAAACAATCACCTTGCGCCTCGTAGGACACAATCCGCTCTGGGTACGAAAGACCAGACCTACGACCTCTACCATCCCCCGCCAGGCTGACCGCCACGTCAGGGCCACCTCCTATGGAATGCCTCCCGCATCACAGCCGATTACCTCGAGGAGCACGCCGACACACTTGTCAAAGACAAATCGGTGCTGGAATTCGGAGCAGGCGCCGGACTACCGAGTCTCGTCTGCGCCATCAACGGCGCGAAGCAGGTCGTAGTGACAGACTACCCGGATGAAGACCTGATCGAGAACCTAAGGCACAACATCGAACACTGCACAGCTACCCTAGACAACATCGTCGCAGAGGGATATCTATGGGGCAACCCGCCCTCAAACCTCACAAGCCACCTACCCAGCTCTGCAGGGGAACGAAGCTTCGACCTCCTCATCCTCGCCGACCTCCTCTTCAACCACTCCGAGCACCGCAAGCTGGTCCTCAGCATGCAAAAGACCCTCACGAGAACCGCAGATGCCAAAGCCTTGGTCTTCTTCTCCCCGCATCGGCCCTGGCTGTTTGACAAGGACATGGCCTTCTTCGACCTGGCAAGAGAGATGGGCTTCGTAGTCGAGAAGGTGCTGGAGAGGAAGATGGACAAGGCGATGATGGTTGAGGACAGATCCGTCAGGAGATCGGTACATGATGTCGGGAATGAGGAGGTCAAGAAAGTGGTTTTTGGTTATCAGCTGGGTTGGGAGGGTTTACAATGATCGCAAAAGTTATTTGCAAACTTTCTCTTCCTGGTCGCGCTGTATATGGTATGAGAGAAAAGCATCCAGGAGATAGATGGCTTGAGGCAAACGGCCTATGCTTCCAACCTCTCTCTCTCTCTGTATATTTGTGGTACTGTATACAAAGGTCAAGTACGCCACCAGCCAGCTATACACAAACACCCTCTCAGTAACGGCAACCTTCCCACCACCTTGAATTAGAGCTCAACAATGCTTGCCATTTCTCCGTGGATCATTTTGTTTCTTATCTAAGATAATGACTAAGGCCAATTTCCATCCCTTGTCGCAGATATCATGTTAAGCTTTGTCAAGCATTCTCCAAGCATTCATTGCATGCATGCCTGCAGGGGGTGCACCACATCCTGCTCCACTCATTGTCCCGGAAGCGGTCGCGTAGTTCATACTATGTATCACTCAACGCACATTATAGGAAAGTATCATAACGAAAGAATGATGTTCAACGGTTAATGATCAAACTTTTGTGAAAATTATGGATGTGTATTATTGGGCCAGTGTGATAGCCCTCTCAACCCCTAGAAAGAATCAGACCAGACGCCTCGACGCTGCATTTTCGCAAGTGGGTATAGCGTATAAATTCCCGGAAGCGCTTATCTCGCCTGAGCATGAGGAGCAAAGCAAGAACAAACCTGAACACCATGCTGATAGAATGCATATCGGGGCAGTCGCCCCTCTGAGCTCTTCGCCTGAGCAGACCGCCAATTGATTCGATGACACGCCGGAAGCCATGCTTGCAAACACAATATAAATGCGTGAAAGTGGCTCAGGTGAATATGACAACTCCAAGGCGATGATTACCCCATGAGAGATGCACCACCCTCATCATCACAAATGACCCTCATGGCCTTGAGGTCCTGTTGCCACTTCCTCGCAACCATGTACAGCATTTCCTTCTCCTCCTGTCTCCTCTCCTCGATATACCTCTCCTGCGCCCCCAAGCTCTCTTTCCATTCCCAGTCCGGCCGCTTGGTCTTCTGTCGATCTTCTCTCACTAGTGGCCAGGATCCCACTGCATCGGCAATAATATCTGTATCTGAACGGGCACGCACAGCTTCGAATTGACAGCATGGGCAGTCATGGTTTTGGTGTGGCAGGAAAGCGGGAAGGGAGTCGTATTGTGGAGGTGGGGCATGGTCGTGACTGCAGGCGAAGGAGAAGGTCTTCTGGTACTGACTGCTGCCGTATGACTGCATGCATGGCCGCATCACGTAGTCACCAGCTCGCGGTGACTTTGTCACGACTTTGGGTAGCGTCGGTGTAAGAGCAGCAAGGTGACCTGTAATGTCGTCACCGGAGTCCGAACTGCTGCATGATGAGCGAGAGCTGGAGCCAGAAGAGGCACTGGATTCGTTGCGCTTCTTTTGGCAGTTGTAGCAGCATCGAGGTTGTTGTGGTAGGGATTTGCCTGTGGATTTAAGAAGCGGGCAGGGTCCACAAGGACAGAAGTCAAGAGACATCAAAAGGCCATGCGAGCAGGAGAAACGGAGGACATGTGCTTTGCACATTGCGAAACTCGATTGAGTGGAGAGTATTTTTTTTGTGTGAGCTTGGTGACCCTAGGAACTATCTCTGGTACACTGTGGGATCAATAGTAGGTTGATATACTGGTTGACTAGGCGAAGCTGCGTATAGGTGCGGAGGCGAGGTCGAAGCGGCACTGTAAAGCGTTTGTACTGGTGATTGTATTTGGCATGCCAGGCTAGATGGAAGGTTGTGGACTGCTGACGACAATGATGACTGGTCAGCTGTTGGACTGTGCTGCACTCCGCAGTTTGGTGTAATGCACCTAAGCGCAAGAAAGGAGCATCGAAATCAGGTTGTACGACGATAACAGTTGTTTTGAAGGCGCGGTGTGATGGTGATTCGAAGGCGCAGCTAGACAGCTGAAACGGGGAAGCTTATTAGTTGAGATTGTGGTCACGATTCTTTATGCTTCATGCAGGCACAGAGCAGGCGCAGTCTAGGTGCGTGTTTAACTGAATGAACGGATGAGTGAATGGAAGGAATGATTCCGGGGTAGGTGAAAGAAAGTGGGAAAGACAATGAGTGGAGTCCGGTCGGGGAGAAAGAGCTGGAATGCTGGGTTTTGGTGAGGGAATAAAGAAAGGATGTACAGAACAAGGCTCAAATGAAAGGGCCGACGAAGCAAGGGATGAACTGGGGGACACAGTGTGTTTGGCGAAATTGATTACGAGCCAGACTAGTTTCATAATTTATCGTTCTTGCTGTGACGGAGTATTGTATTCATGATGTGTGTGTGGTTGGTTTCTTCTCAAGTATCATGATTCGAATCCTTCTGCAGCGTTTCTAGCTGGTTGCTAGGTGAGTCTCATTGCACTTACGGCACCAGCATGAGGCCTTGCCCCTCGCTAGCTGCCAACCTCCAAAATTCAGCCTCTCCTACTCGTACTCTGTGTGCATAAGACCTAAGAGCTAAAGTGGGAGCGATGTCGGCGTAGCGGGTTCTGGCCTGAAATTGGGCACCCGATTTCAGCCCCGGCGGCAGACTTGAGGCAGTCCACTGCAGAATGCGGGGCACGCATCGACCATCATCCATCAACCATCAAAGTCTGGTCAAATATTCAGCAACCCCCACGATTCAAGTTGACTGCCCAAAAATGCCGCGAATGCCGCGGTGAATAACCGAGCGATTCCCCGCGGTAGCTTAGATCCGATGTCACTACAACCGAAGTCCGCGGGTCAGAAGACTACTACGTACATCTACGTAGTACATCGTAGACCTGGAACTGAAGGGATAAGGCTCTGAAACGCTTGGAAGGGGCCTTTTGAAATGCTTGTGTTGCAATCTGCACGGATATGACGCGGAACCAAGAGTGTTGCTGCAGGCCAAGGTTCTTCATCGCTTCCAGAAAAACGACAGACAGATGACTACTGGCCGGCAGATGATGGATAGGAAGAAGAGATGTCCGGGCGACGTCATTTGGAGATTAGTGCACAAGCACGCTTTAACTTCGCTTGCGTAGCGGACTGAGACTGACCACGTACCTTCATGCCCCTGGTACGTTAGATTAACAGTAGGGCAAGTTGCGAATGGGATTGACAACTTAAAGGTGGTGCGACGCAAGGACAAAGCATATCGATCCCAACTCGTCCTTGGTGAAGACCAAGCTTCAAGAGATCGATGATCACATACCCCAAACTTATGAGGATGGCTTGACACGTGTGGTTGAGGAAGTAACAGTCCTTTCGGTTGGCTCGTGTCATGGACCTCTCAAGGAGGCTATTGAAATTACAACTCTCCGGGCAGCCAAACAAAAGACTCCCTCGACATTGAATCCAGGGTCAGGTGACGAATAATGAGCCTCCAGAGCCAGGACGCATCCTCAATGCCAAGTCCTGTGGTGAAAGAATCTGCTAGAGTCATGCATGACCTACGTAGTAGTATGCTAGAGGTTGAGGGGAACAGTACACCATGGAAGCCGGATACTACTGCACGTTTGGAGACCAACGCTTGTGCAGTTCATCTTTCAAAAGGACATCAGGATCGAGGGGCAGGACTTACCATCGACCCAATCGTTCGATGTCCCCACTGTTATGTCCCATGCTCCTGAGCTAGCGGATAGCCTGATGATAGACCACCTTCGATATGGGTAAACAAACCCCACACTATGTTTGAATGCACGTCTGACTCTGCACCTGGGCAAGAATACGAGAGAGGCCTTAAATTATGCTCGCACGAGTGGTCAACGGTGAACGACCTGTCTAACCAGCAATAGCCCGGCTATGAAGTATCCGGGTTGCATAATCGGCTGCAAAGTGACTTTAGGATTCGAGCCAGGTTCTACGTTCTCGTTGAGTTCAACTCCGCATACCTGATTTCCTGCATCGACAACTCATCCCAGCAATATCTCCGAATTGAATACTCAATAGTCCTTGGAAATTGTCGAGCGAGATCAGCTCACTTCCTCCTCTCGGATTGATCTCCCGTCTAGACTCGCAAGGGACTGGTAGGTCAATCATGGTCAGAAAACTAAGCAAAGATGGTCATCTCACGAGCTGATACTAGGATGGTCAAGTAAGTAATATAATCTGAATTTCGTGGAAAGGCAGCAGTGATTGGATCATTCTCCATTTCCTCTTCAAGGTCCGCCATTATGGGCATTTTGCCTCCCACCTCTCCTCAGATTATCCACTGTTGCTGCTGTCCACCCTCCCAGGAAATACGGTCCGCCTATGACGGGTCTCAAGGCAGTGGCGAGCTGAGTAACGCCAACGATGACGCCACGTGGAACATATCTGATGACGAGTCTGCCATAACGCGGGACTGGTCTTCGTCTCCCGTCGGAACGATGGCTTTGACAACTGTCTGGTTACCTTCCTTCATCAGTACCATTTGCGAGAAGATAGCGACTGGCACACTCACAGCACTTGCAAATGCCACCAGTCCGCAACGAGAATGTCAAAAATAAGCAGTGGCCCTATCACCCAAACAACAACCACATGAGAAGTAGCCTACCTAACATGTCTAATGCGTCTAATGGTGTTGGTCGAGTTCAAGACAGAGACATGCCAGGTTAATTTTGGAGCCAAAGCCCATTGACGTGATCAGCCGGCGACGCCACGGACTGCAATACCATCTGAGACATCGTATGCGGGGAAGCCGGGAAGGGCGCTTGTGATCGTACTTTGGGCAACCACATGTGCCACGAGCAGTAGAAGATATTTGCGTAAAGCGCCAGCAAACGGGGCTTTCGATTGCATGATCCATTTCCGATATGCCCAAAAGGGTAACAATGCCTAATAGGTCCATGCAGGATTACGTCCAGGCCTTGAGCCTTTCTAACCGTGTTAGGGAAATAGTACGGAGGACCCCGAAGTATGTTACTTGAAGCACCAGTGAATTCTGAGTGATTTTCAATAGGAAGCCTCCAATGGAAACTGAGAGCTGCCTGGGAAGTCGGCTTTTGTGATCAGATCTACCACACTTTGCTTTAGAGGAATCTCATGGGTTCTGGATGGTTTACTTCGTATGTCTTGTGGAGCATTGGATTAGAACCTTGAGCAGAGACGCTCCATTACGTCCATCGCTTGTGTGGCCCAGCGCATTACCCCTGTGCAGTAGTATCCTTCGTATGCTGCACACGGTTAAATTTTTTTTCCAGTGGCGATGGCCTGCGGGCCCGGCTCGGGTAGGCAGGATAACACTTGCAATACGACCTTCTTTCGTCGTCCAGGGTGTAAGCATAGCGCTGCTGTGACTATCTGCAGAACAATCACCCCTGTCAGCTAAGGCCTTGATGCGTATGAATTCCTCTGATGTCCACCGCCTGGGTCAAGCACCTCTGGCTCGAGTCCTTACAAAGCACTCCGCATGCGCAGTTTTGGTTTCTTCAACAGAACGGGCGAAGATGGAGTTGCCTGACAGGGACCGCTACTTAGTCGAGGAGAGATGAGTGTGCTGTTACGCATTCAGGAACTCAATCCCAGTGAGCTCAAACACTCTTCAAGCCGTTTGTTGAGCTTCCTCCGCGGGCACGTCGTCGGATACCGTTCCGTAGTTCCCGGCCAGAGTCCACTAGAAGCTGTGCAAACTGCTCCCTGTCTCCCAGTGATTTAGTACAAAGCCACATCTTTGCTGCCAGGATCAAGATTTTAGAGACGGACAACCTGAGGATTTCATTGTAATTACATCTTCTTGGATCTCATCAGCTTTCTGAGCATACATATCGATAATTAGCATAATTGGCATGGTCAGCACAGACAGGAGTGTACCATGGCGTAAGTAACCACAGATCACAGTTCAAGAGGCCCCACTAGTAGTAGCTTGTTACTATCAAGCAATTGGCCAAGCAATTGGGCCAAAGCAGGGGTGCTACGTCTGATACTTACTATGGTACTTCGTATCAGGCAGAAGTATTGTTAGCTCGAAGGTAGTAGCTTCGATGCGGGACAGGTACTGAACGTGGCCACTAATACTACAGAAGCTAAGCGATCAATTAAAGTAACTCATATTCCGTAGATGATCACAAAAGAGGCTTCTGAAAGAGAGTGTACCTATGTATTAGTACTAGTCGTTCTTAGCATCGTGCTAACATCACTAGTAGTACAGCACGGACCCGGAGGATGCCTAGACCTGGGGCTAGACAATCTGGGGAAAGCTTGGTATGTGTAGCTCGTGTATGGTGCGGCTTTGCCAACGCACGCATCCACCTAAGCGCCTCACAAACCTATTCCACAGCATCACGTCGCATGTAATCATATCCCGTAATATAACATACCGGCCATGATCTCGATCTATCAGCAAGGCCTTCTAGCTTTTCTCGCCTTCAGTCCCTTCCTCACGTCCGCCTTGGTCATTCTTCCCGAAGCGGTCTCCAACCTTGAAGTCCGGTCCTCATATCGGCCCGCACAACAGCCCATTTCCCCCCAATCTCCAAGTTCAACCATAACACCCCTTCCCCTCGTTATCTGGCATGGACTAGGTGATTCCTTTGACGCCGACGGCATCAAAGAGGCGGTCTCAATCGCCGAAGCTATCAATGAAGGCACGTACGTCAAAACTGTCCAGCTTGGCAAAGATGGCCCATCCGATCGAAGCGCCACCTTCTTTGGCAACGTGACGGAACAGATCGAAGAAGTCTGCAACCAGCTGGCGAGCGACAACATTCTCCGCACCGCCCCCGCCATCAACGCTCTGGGCTTCAGCCAGGGCGGCCAATTCCTGAGGGCCTACGTTGAGCGATGCAATTTCCCACCCGTGCGGAACCTCGTCACCTTCGGCAGCCAGCACAACGGGATCAGCGACTTCCAGGGCTGCGCCTCTGTGTTCGATCTGATATGCCAAGCTGCGAATGGCTTGCTCAAACTCGGAACGTGGTCGGACTTCGTCCAGAGCCGATTGGTACCAGCCCAATACTTCCGTGACCCGGAAAATCTGCCACACTACCTCAAATCCAGCAATTTCCTTGCCGATGTGAACAATGAGAGGGCGCTCAAGAACAAGACTTACGCGGATAATATTGCGAGTCTGAATAAGTTCGTGATGTATATGTTTGCGGACGACACGACGGTGATTCCGAAGCAGAGCGCGTGGTTTGCAGAGTACAACAAGACGAGTGAAGTGGTGACGCCTTTAGCGGAGAGGCAGATGTACAAGGAGGATTGGATTGGGTTGAGGAGGTTGGCGGAGAAGGGCGGATTGGTGTTTGATTTGCTGGAGGGCGAGCATATGCGCTTTAGCGATAAGGATCTGAAGAGGGTGCTGCGCGAATACTTTGGACCTGTGAGGATTGATGAAGATGGCAGTATATGGGACGATGTGGATTTGGGTAGATCACCACAGGATGAGCTATGAGAGCCTTGGACAATGTACCGACTTACTACAACACCTACTGCTACGATAAACGTTCGATAAATAAGGATTTCCGCGGATCCAAAAATTTTCATACACAACCTCCACTGCTATGAAGTGCTTGACCGAAGCTTTTTTCTCTATCGGAAGAGGTCTATAAGCACCCTGTAAAGATCTGCAGAGTAGAGATCTGCGAAGTACGCTTCTCGAACAACGGCGCCGTAATCTGGCCCCGCAGAGGCTTATTCGCCAACGTAGAGGTTGTGGACCAGGCCCATGAGAAGTAGATTTCTTGAAAGAATGATCGAAAAGTTTCTGGTGTGTATTCGTGGAGGCACTTCAGATCATAGCAATCGCATCCGGACGCGGATTCCACGACGCTTCTGAGCTCACTAGGAGCGAGAAAAAACCACGTCACCTTCGAATGCATGCTTGAGTGGAGTGATATGGGGTAGAAACGTGGAGTGGGGGTTGGAAGAGGGAGGAGAACAGGTTGCATTTAGGTATGAGTTTGCAAATTGAAGTAGCTGTGAAAGGATGACGCTATGCTAGGGCGAAGATGATCAAAGACGGATTCTAGGGGATGAAAAGCAGCTTGTAATGCGATCAGACGTAACGCCTTGCAGGGCGTTTGCTAAGTAACGGTACGACGCACGTCAAACTCGGACATCCTTCATCCTCAGCTGCAACTGCTTCCCTCTTCGACCACTGTTCGACGTACACACCGCTCTAGCCACTCGAACAGAACAACCACGGATCACATCAACTCCTCATCCTCGTCGCTCATTTCCCAAACCGAGTACAAGCTGTCAGCATTGTTGCTTGGATCAACTGCTCGGAAAACCAGAAACACAGTGCCCTCACGATAAGGAGCAAGAGAACTTCCACCAATCGGTTGACTTGTGCTTGCTTTGGGTCGATTTGAGAGTCGGCGCCATAGGTTGAGTATGGCCTTCATAAGCCACTTCATCGGAATTACTGGCAATCTCAGGACGAAAACGACTGTGGATAGGATGGCTTTTCCGGCAACAATGGATTTGCTGAATATTATGATTCCAACCAGCATTACCACATCCCAGTAATTGAACATGACCTTTCCGAGCCAGAGGGTCACAACTAAGCACCAGACATCGATCTTCACCCATGCCCAAAATATGGACCGGGTCTCGGGGTCAAAAAGATTCTTCGTAATGAAGTCGCGCATTGGGAAGAACCAGGTTACGAGGGACAAGAACATAATCCCCGAACATACGACGAGACCAAGGGCGATGTCCTTGAGTATCAGCCAGACTCCTGATCCTTGTCGCACTGGCTTGCGAGGTTGCTTCCAACAATCGTATTCGGAGTAGATGATTGTGCATTTGTAAACGCGTTCTCCGTGATGTTGCTGATGAGTAACTTCTGATCCCTCCATCAGGACTGAGTTGGAGCTGTGGATGTTAATAGGCATCTTGATAGAGTGCGTTTGATCTAGGTGATTCAATGCGGTTTGTTGGGCTGTCAATAGATGATTGTGATGATTTGAAGATGGTGCTGGTGGAAAGGAAGATATTGAGAGGATGAGAAGAATGACTATTTGTACTTTGCAAATAGCCTGCTCACCCATAGGAGGAATCAAATAGAAGAGAAAATGTCTTTGAAGTAGATAAAAAAAAGCACCGCGATAGTGTCAGGAACTTGGTCAAGCTAGGAGTGGACCAGATAGCAGAGACAACGTCTTTGAAGCAGACAAAGAAGCACCGCAAGAGTATTAGGAACAGGACGCAACAATGGAATGATATCATGACAGCCATTTTGTGAGAAGTATATTCTTTCCAAGTCCCTTAGAGTTACAAATAAATCTTTTTTCTTTGACTTGCAAGCTGAATTTACAACCTCAAGATCTTGTCTTAAAGAAAGCTCCTTGTAATGATTGAAAGGTCCGGGTGTGTTTTGAAAGACACCGCGTCTAGTATACACTGGTTTTATTGTAAGCAGTACATGTCAGTAGGAGAGTGAGCATAATTTCAAAATTCATTTTGAGGCGAAAAGGAAATCCCATGAAGGAAGTACATCAATTTGTAAGCATGTTTCGGTAAGGCAAAATATATGATGATCTGGGTTGATTGATGGTTATGCATTGAGACATAAGGCTAGATCTAAGGATTAGAAAGGAAACGGCACGATGAGAGAACAAACAATCGCGACCTACTAGACTTACTCCTGAGACAAAGTCCTCAACATGGAGTGACTCACTTTCCCCCTTCCTTCATCCCTCCAAAGGACCAATTCGTAATGTCTGTTTTCCTCCTCAGCGAGAAGAGGTCATCTCCATTGACATCCTTGGCTGATGCTCGACACGGATGGCCTCGGTCATCTCACAGTGATGATAGGAAGGAGGTACCGAGTGGACGACCCGGCTTTCGCTGTGCATCAGCCTTACCCAGAGCAATACCCGCGTCGAAGGCAAGCTTGCCGAGCCAAAGTGCCAGAACTGAAAGACGCATGCAGACCTTCCAGCGGCGCCAAAATTCCAACGAAGAAAAGAAGCCTAGCTGTTGCGTGAGGTAGATAGACGCCAGGATTTCCAAGATCTCACCAATCACCATCACAATCCCCGCCGACATGATCAAGGTGAAGAGGACGTCTTTGAGCGTTGGCCAGACTGTGCCTTCTTGTTGCTCGGCCTTTCGGTGTTTGAAGAGATAAACATTTTTGGGTTGGCGCCGACAGCCGTACTCGGAATCAGTAACTGTGTTTTTTCGATTGCAACCACATGAACATGTAGAGGCTAGTATGGAAGGTGTTGAGGACAGCTCTGCGAATGAGTTCCGAGGGGGCTTCCCATATGGGTAGCCCGACTTCTGAGCAGACACAGAAATTTCGTAAGACAGCTTCGGATCTGAACTGCTCGAGCTCGGGGCGGATGTAGACATTTTGGGAGACTGGTTTTAATCTTGGTGGTTCAAGAGCTCTTGCTGGCCTATTGCTGGATGTGTGAGATGCAAAGATAAGGTGTCTAAGATGAAAAGAACTTGCAAAGAACGACACAGGGTATTTATACTTTCTACCGTCGAGCAAGACAAGAAATGAATCAAATACAAGGACAATGCCTTTATAACACACAAAAAGAAACGGCTGTCAACATCAAAGAAAGCACATCACAAAGGGACAAAATCCACAAGTACTTGCATGTTCGATGGAAAACACGTTATTTCGAGCTTGTTCAAGCAGCAGCCAAAATGGGGTTTCTTAAATATTCACACGAAAACTATGACAAAGAGAACATTGGATGGATGTCGATGAAGAGGATAGCGAAACACTGGTAGGAAGGGGGGAATAAGATCTGGAAAATGATGGAATTATCGCCTTTGTAAAAGACAACAATAGTGATATCTCGTTGCATTGCCATTGTCTGCGTTCTTGTCCGCGTTCTTCTCCAAGCAGGCAGCCGAGGCATTTCCGGAGGCCAACTTCCCCAGAGCCTGGACCCCAACCCCCACAATGCTCACTCGCTGCCCGGGAAACCCCTGCCCTGGCTCTGTGCATCCCGCACTCCATTTCGGATCCTGCATTGAACCCTTGAATGACTTTTGGACTACGTTGATTGGTTAGGCAGAGAGCTTGACCTAGGCATCTTCCAGCGACAAGAACCCAAGGGCGGCTCTTTCTGCGACATAGGTAGTAAATGAAGAGGACAAGATTGCCCACTCTTTTCCAGAGACTGTCCGCAATCAGTTTCACTTTTTCGCATCTTACCCAAGGCAGCCACACCACTTCTCTGGATGAACCAGTCACGTCACCTCCGAATGCACATGATACGCTGATAGTCTCACCTTTATCGCATGCACACCTCACATCCGATCATCTGTCCTCGATCCTCAACACTCCTCTCTGACTCGAACAAGCGTCATGGACTACCCAAGAAGAAGTGCACGCCTGTCGCCGCATGCGAGCAACAGTTCACAGCCAGGTGAGACCTCGGCCGCCGCATTTGGAAGGAGTTCGCAAACGTCCAGCACTACAACCACTTCATATCCGAGCCCTACCAATGATACGAGAAATGAGCAGATTATACCACAGCTTCCTCAACAACCTCGATACACACCGCAGCTTCAAGTTCAACCCACCATGTCACAGTCCCACCTTCATGCACCTCTCCCATCCCCGTCCGCAGGCGAGATAGACTCTTGCTTCGCTCGTCCACACCCTCAACTAAATCCATATCAGTCTTTACATCCGCAACAGCAGCAGCAACAAACACCCACTTCGCAGCCACTTTCCGATCAGAATCAACGTCAATCACACCATAATTCCTTCTCACAAAATAACAACAACTTTGGTCAGGCAGGGATTATGCCAACCAACTTCCTGGCAGAGGCTGCTAAGCGGGCACAAATGGCTTGCTTAATGCGAGATTTGGGCGATGTGTCGTTATGAGTCTCTATTAGCTGGAAGCATTCAATAATCAGTACATTCCTCCTAGCCTTGATAGAGAGAGAGAGAAACTCCCGCTTGGGAGAAATGTTCGCTCTGCTCCATTTTGCATTGTGATTTAGGGAGAATGGCATTACCGTACTGGTGGTGGGTGGCGTTTGCATGAAAGCTTGTGTTGCTACGCAGTCATAGACTGACCATGTTTTCCTGTACTGTACAATGTCCACTTCCTTTTTCAGTCACCTCGTCTTTAGGACTTTTGACAGAATCAAAGTTTAGACTCTCCTCTTTCGGCAACATACAGTGCAGGGTGCGAATGCATTGCTTTCGCTTGGCTTTGATGGCTACTTAACGACCGAAGCAGCGGCGTTGATCCATGTGAATGGGCTATCTTGCTCAGTGCCTACGACCTTTCACGTGCTCTTCGTATTGCCTTGTGCGGCCCAGCAGGCTATATGATGGTACTCTCAAAACTCCACAGCTTTGTGGAAAACAATAAGGCGGCTGCATGAGCGTGAATCTTCTTATTCCCCTTCCGCTGTTAAACAGCTCGATAATGTGGCATATGCAAAACTCTACAATGCTGCATAGAGTAAATGAGCTTGACCGAGTAGGCCGAATTTCTGATTCTGCAGCAAATCTACTTCAAGGGTGCTGGCTTCCGAAGCATTCTTGGAAGCGGAATCCCGACTTGGATGGAGCTGCTGTGCTGAGTCAACCTGCCCATTTGACTAAGTGTGCAGGCTCCTAAGCATGATCCCTACAAACTCTTAGTCACTGACAGCAACTTGAAGATCATTCAGCACCCCAGGATGACCACTGTCCGCACAAATCGTAACCAGTGGCCATACTGCAGTTCGGTGCGACTGTTAGTAGTGATGAACTTTTTGCCTGTATGAACCCCTTTCAGCTCTCTCCTGAGCTATGGAGATTCGCCCTTCTTCTCGCCGTTCTCATTTACTATAAAACAGCGTACAAGCTGGTTGCAAAGTTCATGGACTGTGTTACTTCGACCTCGTCGAAGCCACAATCAAATCCGCAGCTGAAAGCATCAAATTCAAGCAAGCTTTCTACCTCTCCCCAAATGTCCTCATTTCATCGTCGATTTCTCTCTCCGGCGTCCAACTCGACCTCCGAAAATATGACTACTATGGAGCCAACGGACAAGCTGCCACCAAGCAAGAATGAAGCGGCTCGTTCTGCAAAACGTTTCCTTCTCTCCAATATCCGCGATGATTGGACCTATCCTTTGTCAGAGCCTCAGACCTCTCAGGAGCCCACATATCGAGAGCCTCTAGACTATCGAATACGCGAAGAGGGCTCGTCAGATCCGGAGCCCCTCTCTGATGAGCCCCATGATGCACGCGACCCTATGGTCTTCACGGATTCAGACCCCTACAAATTTGAAAATCCTGATGCAATTGCGAGGACGATAATTCAGAGAAAGCGGAAACGGCGGAGGTTGTTCAAAGAGGAGCTCGGATGGAATGATGGCTTGAGAACATGGGTGGACCGCAGGAATGCATGGTGTGGTGCTGTTGAAAAAAGACCAAGAAAAGTAAAGGGACGAATCCCCAATCATGAAGAGAATGGTTGCAGTGTCTCGACTGCAACTAATTCTTCAATGCCGCTCTCACCAGTTTCCCAGGTTTCTGCAACGTCATCCTCTCCGGTGCATTCCGCCTCGGATTCTGAGGACAACCGCGACACCGATCGCCCAGATGAGGGTCAAGGGCCATTACTTCCTATATACCCATCGTTGCTACCAGAGGACAACATAATCCGTTCCTCCATCAAACCAACCATGTACCCAGCTATCTATAGCAAGGTCGTGTTGCAGAGCCTCACTCCTACGGTACCTGTCCACCTCCCTGACATGATAGGGGCTCTTGTGCTGGGGTGGAAATCTGAAGGCAACTGGCCTCCTAAGAGCGCTGTTCCAACAACATCCATAATCCAAGAAGGCGGCAGACGTGCATCGGAGCTGTTGAAATTCCGCCGACGTGAAAACGTTGTCGCAGAGAAAGGACGAATGCGGAAGGGCGTAGGGGCTGTGAAAAAAGCTCTAGGGCTAAGGACCTCGAGCGGTGAAACAAATGGAGGAGATCTGAGGTTTGAAGATGAAGGCAGCAGACGAAACAGTAACCCGGACAAGTCCGGTTTGGTCGATGGAGATACGCCAGCCCCAGATTGACCGACTTTAATAATCACGATTTATTGTTAACGACTTGCGGGAACGACAAATTAAGGATCGTTTCTACACATAGCTTCTCGTCTCGAGGACGGGAAAAAGGCGAAAGTTGCACATCAGAAATCTGGGCTGCGAATTTGACGGATGGTCCTGACTCGTGCTCATCACCTGACATCCGTCCAACGGTGTATTGTCCAACGGTGTATTTTTTATCCCTGTGGTTCCAAGTTTTTCCTCATGCCGCAACGAGTATTCCAGCTGTCTGGTCAGTCTGGCCTGGGTGCAGCGAGCGCCGGCGACGTTTACGCTGCCGGAGACTACCGCCTTACACGCCGCTAGTGCGAACTACCGAGCATACGTGTGTCTCGGTGCAAGTCAGCGAAGGCAAAGCCTAAGTGCGTGCGCCCAAGGTACCTGTCACAACATGAAATTATGGCTGTCCTCATCCAATGCGAGGTTGCGATCTTCCATTGGCCATGCATTATGCAATGCCAACGCATCATCAGAGCAGAGAGCAGGGTCACCAGGTGGACTATTTGGTTGAAGGACTTTGGGGGTAGTGTGTACACAGTCGATGAATTCGAGCAACCGCCACTGCTTCCCTGAAAGGGCGTGGTCTTGAGCGCACTAGTATCCGGAGGACCTGGTGCTCCTACGTTTTCAAACTGCAAGGCTGCTCTCAAATGGCCATCAATCTGTCTTGGTTGCGGACGTAGATGGATCCCTTCTCTCCAAGTTGGGGCAGCTACAGTGGGATCAAGAGCTGCTGGTGAGGCCTCACGACAGTTGCTATCTCAGTCGTGGGCTTGACCGGTCCACATAAAGACATCAAGTGCTGTTATGCTTTCTACGCATTGTGTTACCAACGCTCAGCAAAGTTCTTCAAGGCCCCCTGCAGCGCCAGAAGCTCCACGGTACCTTATTATCTAGTGGATGAAAAATGCCAATCTACTTCTTAGCTGCACAGCTAGGGCTCTCAGAGGTCTTCCGCTTGTAATTTCACGCCAGGTACAAGAGCACAAGTATCAGCAAACTGCAGTCAATCTCTCGGTGATATATATGCTCACTCACCTACCGAGGAGATATCAAGGTAAGCTGTTCCGAACGACGACTGATATCGGATCCGGCCTCGCAGAATGAATCCCTATCATTCACTAATCACTATCATTCCCTTCGCCAACCCCGCCTCCAACCGGCCCCAAACCCGCCCGCATTCTAGTAGCTCCACAAGCTCTTCTTGCCCCGCTACATCTGCATATCTCAATTAGGAATCTTCCATACCCTTATCCTTAACATCATCACAGATCTTCTTCAAGTGCTCAGTTGCTTACAGGCTCCGCTTTAAACAACCAAGGTCATTCCAAAACAAATCAAAAGTCATTGCCATCATGTCTGATCTACCATCCAAGATGAAGGCGCTCAGGTATGTTTCCAATTGGGTCATACCACCCCGCTTCTCATCTGTCAACACGACACAAAGAGCTGGGACGATGACATGACAAGAAGCCCGCGAGAGTCATTGTATACTCCATTCAAGAATTCATGCCGTTCTATCCCGTTAACCAGCTCGCTTCCCTAACAGGTACTCCAAGCCGGAGGAATACGATGTTGTCGAAGTCGATCTCCCCAAACTCCGAGACAACGATGTCCTCGTCAAGGTCAAAGCCTGCGGTGTCTGTGGTACGGACCTACACATCCACGAGGGTGAATTCCTCGCCAAATTCCCCCTTATTCCCGGCCATGAGACGGTCGGTGTCGTCGCAGCTCTGGGCAAGGGCGTGAAAGGCTTCAAGGTTGGAGAACGAGTCTGTGCAGACAACTCAGAACTCTGCGGAGAATGTTTCTACTGCCGTCGCGGCGAGCTCTTACTCTGCGAGAATTTCGAAGCCCATGGTGTCACCTTGGATGGCGGGTTTGCAGAGTATTGTGCTTATCCTGGTACCTACAACCATGCCCTCCCTCCACCCCCGTCAAACGTGCCCCCCCATTGCAAACAAACTGACAGGTCCTCCTACCTAGCCGGCCGGGTCTTCCCGATCAAGAACCTCTCCGACGTCGACGCCACCCTCCTCGAACCGGCCTCCTGCGCCGCCCACGGCCTCGACACGATCGCGCCCAAGATGGGTTCCTCGGTGCTCATGTTCGGCGCCGGTCCCACCGGTCTCGTGCTCGCCCAGATGCTACGTCAGAACGGCGGTTGCCACGTCGTCATCGCCGCACCCGAGGGTCTCAAGATCGACCTGGCCAAGAGCCTCGACGCGGCGGACGAATACGTCGCCCTCAGCCGCTCCGACCCGAAACCCATGTTCGACAAGATCAAGTCCGACAACCCCTACGGCTTTGACATCGTGGTCGAGGCGACCGGCAGCGTCAAGATCTTGGAGGATGCCATCAACTACTGCCGGCGCGGCGGCAAGTTGGTCGTCTACGGCGTGTATGCGAACAAGGATCGCGTCAGTTGGCCGCCGAGCAAGATCTGTAAGTTTGCGAACCCCCCCTTTCCTTTCCCATCACCTTCATTGCAGGGTGGAAGGGGGGTAGTATCCGTTTTTTTTCTTTCTTCTTTTCTCGAGCTAACACTGTTTCATCTGCAGTCGGTGACGAAATCACCATCCTGGGCTCCTTCTCCGAGACGTACAAATTCCCGGCCGCGATCGACTATCTCGACAGCGGCAAGGTCAAGGTGCATGGCATCGTCAACAAGACGTTCAAGCTCGATCAGTGGAAGGAGTGTCTGGAGGCCATGCGGAATAAGAGCGCCATCAAGGCTGCTATTACCTTTGATTAGCTCCAACTAACATAAAGTCCAAGACTGGGGTTTGGAGAAAAGTCGGATTTAGGCTTTGGAGATATATAGGTGGCGGGCGGGCAGGCAGGCTGGTGAGGTAGGGCAATGATGTCTGTCGTGAGGATGATTGAAGATGTGTCAGATATATATATACATATATGTCGCAAGTAGTCATATACACACATTTTCAGGAACATACTGGTATTGATTGACCTACTGAACAGAATTTCCAGTCAGTGAGTGTAGCCCTTAAACCATCTATCGTCACCCCTCCTCTCCACCTCCCGCACCTCCTCCCTCCCTCACCCTCGCCCTCTCCCTCTCCTCCATCTTCCCCCGCTTCTTCATCCCCTTCATACTCCTCCTCGGCCTCGCCTTGAGGCTACTTTTCCTCGTCTTCCTCTGCCCCGGCTTCCTGGCCCCATGGATCAGCATCCACGCCCCCATCGTGCGGCGCTGACCGACAGATCGGCCTTCGGGCGTGAAGACCTCGATTTGAGGCGTGGGGAACTCGTCTTCTTGGCATCTGCTGCCGTGGTATCTTGGGTTGTTGTAGGGCCGGCTCGGTGAAGAGATCGAGAACGGCGCAGGTGGGGGTGGTGGGGACGGGTCGTCGAGGATGGACAATGCATCTCTCCTTCGGCCTGCACCTACATCTGCACCTCCTCCATTCCACTCTTTATCACTGTTTTGTCTCGTCTCCGCCTGGCCTTCTTCGTGTTGAACCCCCCGCCTCCTTCGATGCCTAACCTGACAGACCAACTCCACCCACCCAACGCCCTCAAGCAGGATGTCTGTCCCCTTGACTCTGAACGGCAGCTTGCTCAACGGCACCCCGGCCCTCAACAATGCCCCAGATCTAGATTTCGTCACGTCGGTATCCAGCGCAAAGATACCGGCTGACTTGATCGATTCCCCTGCTTCGGGGGCTAGGAGGGTTTTGATGCCTGATTCACGAAGCTGTCGTTGCGTCATGTCGGCTTTCTCGGTTGATGTGACGTGGACGGGGAGCGGAGTGAAGGGGTAGGCTAGGATGACGGTTTCGTCGTTGGGGTTCGAGGTTGGTGTTGTGAGGGGAGTGATGCGCATTAGACCGCCGCCTAGGAGGAGCGATTGGCCTTGTTTGAGGACGTGTTGGGTGACGGTGGGGCGGTGTTCCATTAGGAGGGTGCGGTGGTGTTCGGGGGTGACGTAGTGGGAGAGGTTGCCGCGGGGGAGGCCTGGGAGGTCGATGAGTTCACCTTTGGGGTTGGTGCGGGAGGGGCCGAAGGGGAGGCGGATCGGGGAGGCGGTCGTTCCTGGAAGAGGAGAAACAAGGGGGAGGGTTGGGTAGGGCGTTGAGGGTTGGGGTGGAGGGAGGAGGGAGGATTCGGAGAAGAGGACATGGTCTGGTGTGTCTGTTAAGGAAGATGGGGGGGCTGATAGGAGGTGTGAATAGTCTTGTTCTGCGTCTTTTTGCAATTGAGAGTAGATGGGTGCTTGTTCGTCATGGCCTTTTGGAAAGAGAACCTCAAAGAGGTTACTTTTGCCCACGTTGAACTTGCCGACCATCCAGTTACCGCCTCCGCGCTCGTATATGGACTCTTTGATTTCCTTTGTCCACCACCCCCTTTTGGCACTGACAAGATGAACATTTCCCAATCGCATATCCTGTCCCTTGCGGCCGAGAGCGTCCCGAAGCACGGATATGAAGTATGGCATGAGAGAATCGACCATCTCCTTTTGCGGAGCTAAGAGATCTGATCGCGTTATGATGAATGAGATGGTTGGCTTGGTGGAGAAGTCGTGCTGCGATCGCCTGTTCTGACTTCGAGGACGGGCAAGTGAAAGCCGGTTGAAGATTGATGGTGTGAGGGAAAGAGGGAAGTCCGCGGCATCGAGAACGTGGTAGACATGGTTTCGACGAAAAGGTGACTCTTCTATGGTTTCTGCGATGGATTCAATGGTCGGATGGGCAATTGGCACCCCTTTCGACTGGTGAAGTAAATTGTGGCAGCGATCGCAGAAGGGAACATTTTGTTCAACAACGGCCTGCCGATCTTGCTGTCCCTGGTCTAGATCTAAGCCTGTGATCCTGGGCCTCAGATCCTGCTGCTGGGAGTCATCTTCGAGCAGTTTCTCCTGGTCTGCGCCGGCTCGGACCACTTCGTGCTCACTAACAGCCCGCACGCGTTTGGCGAGGCGTATGTAGTCCTTGACTGACTTCCTCGATCTTGTATAAAAGCCAGCTTCATCTGCATTTACCTCTTGAGTCAGAGCACCACAACCGGGGCAAGAAACCGGCAGATGACCCAGTGACGCTGGCGCTCTGTTGGTGGGAGCATAGGCAGGACTTCGGAAAGGCTCCCATGATGAAAATGAGGTTTCAGCAGGTGGATCGAGGGAGATAGTTTCATGCTGTGGTACCGAAGCTGGTACGGCCTGACGAAGGACAGGGGATCGATGAATGGTGAGATCGCGCTGCTGAATTCGCGGCAAACGAGTTCGGCTAACGATTCTGTTCACGACCTTGTTGGGAGGGCCAAGGTCAAGGGACACGAGCTGACGTCTCACTTCTTGTTGAAAAAGAAGAACCGCCTGGGGGGATATCTTCATGCTTAAACTGCGGTTGTCTTGCTGAGTGCTTCAAGCTGCTCGTCAAATTGGATTCAGTAGAAAAAATGTTCTTGGCAGCCAAGACTGGCGCAAGTCAGTCACTTACCCAACCAGGCAAGGTGCAGATTACATAAGTGCCATTTTACTTTTCTATATTCAGCGCCGTGATTCGTTTCCCCCCGATGATCAATAAAGCCAAAGCATAAGCTTGCGAATACGCAGTAAGAGACCTGTAACTACCAGTCTTCGGTGGGTCTAAAATGCTCTAGATTACGGTATGGGTAAACTAGGGTGGTGGCTTAGGAACACCTCAGCGCAGAGCCCTCATGAGGGTCTTCTCAATCGCAGCAAGACTCTCCTGGTTTGAAGTCATGCTCGCCATGAGGTAGAGCACATTGCCCAGCACACGTGAGTGCACAACGAAACCTCCATCTGAAATACCAAACAACGTGCTCTGCAGATCTGCTGCCGCATTAGATGTATATCCGCTCTGACCATCTTCCGTCTTCAGATATATTGCCAAGACAGACCCCAGGGCAAACACACCATCCACCTTGTTACTCTCCGACAGACGCTTCACAGAGACTTGATTCCAGAATGACCAGAAGTGCACGCCTTTCTCCGACTCTGAAGGGTTGTATGCCGTTGAAGCCCGCCAGCCATTCTGATAGCCCTGCCAAGCACCATTCTTCTCCAGTTCGCTCAGCATGGCCAGACTTTTTGCGCCAACAGAGCAGCCAACAGCGTGCGCTGTGTAGCTGTGACCATGAAGCAAAGCGTCTTGTTTCTTGTCACTGAGGAACACGTTGAAGATGGACTCGCTCGCTGTAGTGATCGCAAGCGGAAGAAGACCTCCAGTGAGCAGCTTGGCATGTACAGAGATGTCTGGAGCAATATCTTCATCTACTACGTGAGTGTTCTGCGACTTGGATAGGAAAGAGGATGACGATGCACGGCCGAGACGGTAGAGGCCAGTGAAGACTTCGTCGGCGATTATAGGAAGGCCGGACCAATCGAGCGACTTTTCCATGGAGGTCGAAGCTGAGTGTGTAGAGCCTGAGGCCCCAGCAAAGAGTGCTGGGTTCCCACGAATTACTTTGAGGAGTGTGCGCTGGAAGAGAGGATCCACAAAAATCATGCCTCCTGCACCCAACAGAATAGGCTCACAAATCAATGCACCAAATTTGCGCCCTTCATCGACGATCAAGCGCCTCAAAGTAGACATGATGAATTGCTCGTAAATCTCCGAGTGGCCCCGATGGGTTCGAGTATCATAGTCGAAGATATGCTCGAGGCTCTGGAACTGAAACGTTGTTCTTATGCCCATTTCTTGGGGGACCTGCAGCTCCCATACTCCGTTGCGCATCTTCAAGGAAGGAGGGTCAAACCACCATCCCCATGGCTGATACCAGTTGACAGCTTCGTTGTAGGTGCTAGGCTCACTACAATTCATGGTAGCGATGCAGTCTCCGTGATAGCTTCCTTTGAAACCGAGCACACCAATCGGTTCGTCGTCTCGACTCCAACCATATCTCTTGGATGCAGCGCGCAAAGCCATTTTTAGTGCGACTTCTATCCCGGTACTACCATTATCAGAGAAGAAAACGCGGCTCAAACGGGGATTGGCTAGCATGGAGAGCAACTTCGACGACAATTCCAGAGCTGGAGCATGAGCAGCAGAGGCAAACATGACATGTCCATATCGACCAGCGGCATGAGCAGCAGTAAGAGCAAGATCCGGACTCCCATGTCCAAGTCCTTGCGTCCACCAAGATGCTGAACCGTCGAACAGTGGTTCGAGGATTGGCTCTTCAGGCCCCTGTCGGATCGATGCAATTCCTGATTTTTGATGAGGAGCACTGTCGTTCAAGCTGGAAACCGATTTCGGATTGAGTCCCTGGAAGAAGTCTCCGTAAGCTGAGTCAATGGCTAGGATATTTTGAGAAATGCCATGCTGCCTAAAAGGGTGCCAGATGATGGATTCTGCTAGTGCCGGCATAGATGACAGATTCGACACCCGGAAGTAGTGCTTGTGATCTACCAAATCGATTATTTCTGTTATAGAGGTACTATTTGAAACGCTACGGTAATATTCGTTCATCAAATCTTCGTCGTCCTGTGCTTCTTTCTGTCGTGCTGGTGGCTGAGGCAGCGCAAATGTTCTGATGCCATGGCTTCTGAAATGGTCTCGTAGAAACTCATAATTTCCGTAGACCTTGTCGTGGAAGAGAATGACCGAATCAACATCGTATCCACGGAGATGTAGAGATTCGAAGGCAGATATGGTAGATCCTATTCCACCTAACCTGTGATCACCAACAAGACAGACCGGCAACCTCAATGGCCGGTAGAGATCTGCTTGAAGTGTCCCTGATGGGGCAGGAGATAACGATCCACCAGCTGTCTCAAGTACAGCATACCGGAAACCATCTCTGGCTGACCTTTCAATCCATGATTTCACCTTCTCTACGATTGAGACATCTCCAATGTCAGACTATAACGCAAAGTCAGCGGTGGTGCCAACATGCGGTATAGTAAGATATACATTATCATGGCAGCCATTGCTTGGGTTTGGAGCTGATCGTGCGGCAAGATGTGGACTGACGGGCTCTTGAAACTGGTACAGATTTTCTGATTTGACCCCAGGAGCAAATCGAGAAATGTGTCTGACAAGTATCAGCAACACGTTGCACAAGACTAGAAAGGGGCAGCAGGCGTTCAAGAAGCTTGGGAATGACACTTTTGAGAAGAATCTTCCTGGGTCGGTCCATAGGAACAAACACACCTGGTATCAGCATCTTCAACTGGCCCAGTGGAAATTGGCTTCAGATACAACACACCACTCGTGGGCGATTTCCTCTTGAAAGCTTTGCAAAGAAGGGTAGAGACAATTGACTTGCCGACATTTGTGTTAGCTCCGTAGATCTGAAGTGCCCTCAGGTCTCGCCATAGCATTGTGATATTCCCTCGGTCTCGATATGTTGTGGGGACGACGCTCGGGCCTCTGGGCTAGAAATAGATGTACTAAGTCAACCCCTGCCAAGAAAGGCAAATCTTCTCACAAAGACACAACTCCCACCTGCATGTTAGGGTTGCCTTTCTTCGCCAGAGCGTCCGTTGGCAGATGCTTCATGTTTCTGCTCTATGCGAGCGAGGGGAAAGTTGAACTGTGCAAAGGTACGTCTGTTGTACTTGAGCATAAAGGTTGCCATTCGCTTTCCACAATGATTGGTGAGACCAACGCATTGAAGTATTTGGGGGATATTTCCATTCTCTCAACACTTAAGCCTTGGCTGGATTCTGTCCAGATTGATGGACATGGACGAAGAGAAGACTTCTCCTTTACACGCTCAACTGCATCTCCTTCTCGACCGTCGAAAGCAACAATCCAGATTACGAAGCCTCAAAGCCAGTCCCGAAGGGTCAATTGATTTCTCCTCCAATGACTTCCTTTCGCTTTCTTCATCGCCAATCTTGAAGGCTATCTTTCTCGATGAGTTGGAGAACATCCCTCGGCTGGGCAGTACAGGATCAAGGCTCCTTGATGGGAACTCTTCCTATGCCGAGAACCTCGAGCGAGACATTGCTAAGTTTCACAATGGTCCAGCCGGACTTCTCACCAATTCTGGTTTTGATGCCAACGTCGGAATCTTTTCGTGTTTGCCTCAGCCAGGAGACATCGTGGTCTACGATGAGTTGATTCATGCCAGTGTTCATGACGGAATCAAGACATCAAGAGCTGGAGCCAGTATTCCATTTGCTCATAATTCTGTCCTACACCTCAAAACCGTTCTGGAGGCGGTTGTGTCGAAGTCGTCTGCAAGCGTGCCTTTCAACCTGTTCATTGCCGTCGAGAGCGTATACAGTATGGACGGTGACCTTGCTCCTCTGATGGAGATCGTTCAGCTCATCGAAGCACTATTCCCAAACAAGAATGCGCATCTCATTGTGGATGAGGCACACGCAACTGGACTGTATGGGGAAAAGGGAAGAGGTAGGGTGTGCGAACTTGGTCTTGAGAACAAAGTCTTTGTTAGACTCCATACCTTTGGAAAGGCTCTGGCTTGCAATGGTGGTAAGGATGTTGTCCTTCGGCAGAAACACTCAGCTAACGGCTTCCAGCTATAATCCTGTGCACACCAGTCACGCGCCAGTACCTTATCAACTATGCCCGACCACTAATCTACACCACTTTCATGTCATTCCCAGCACTTGCTGCCATCAAAGCTGTTTATACCTTCATGGCCCAGGACAGGACAGAACAGCTAGCCAAAGACTTGACTTCACTCATTACATTGCTATACTCGAACTTAGGGGCATTGAGGGACAAATACAGTGCCTCCAATTCTACCAAAAATCTTCTAAGAATACCTTCTGAATGTCCCAAATCACCCATAATCTCACTGCTCACGTCTGACCCGCGTGGCCTGGCACAATACTGCCAAAGAGCTGGTTTCGTCGTTCGAGCGATAGTGGCACCAACTGTGCCTGAAGGATTTGAGAGGGTCAGGGTTTGTCTTCATGCAGCGAATACATCTGCTCAAGCGGAAAAATTTGTCCAGATCCTCCAGACATGGATTGAGCAGGAAAGTCATAAAAGTCAAAAGCTTTCGGAAGTGGTGGGAGCGAGACTTTGAAAGAATCACGACAATCATGGGCAGGCCTGTACATATGGTTTGAGACTATAATGTTGAGCAAATACAGCACCTGATCTATTAGACAGTGGTCTGAATTATACATAGCTCTACAGTAAGAGAACGAAGAATCCTTCAAATCCAACGGCTACTTCAAAGACAGGGCGTCTACGCTTCCTACAAAGTTCAAGCCCAACTTTGATTAACATCTCCAGAAGTCCTTGATTGACGCCTTCGACTATCAGCCACCCGATCGGCTCCCCTATTCCCGTGAAAGCTTAATTTCAGGGGTACTGCCGCTAAGCAGCCCACCAAATGGCCTTATGCGGGGCAGACCACAACAATATCGTCCCAACTCTTTCTAATCTACCGGTCAGAGAGCCCACTACAAATAGAAATGAAGGCAACGAGGGTGCTGCAAAGTCTGGCTCGCCAGCAAAATGCCCCTCGCGCTTACAGCACAGTCCACGATCTCCCTCGTAGTGGCAGCACGGGGCTCTCTCAACCTCCACCTCCAGCACCTCAAGTAGGGGACCCCTCTACCGCATTTCAACGTGCTACCACAGCAAGCGGGCCCCGCAATGACTGGACCAAAGAAGAGATCGCCCACATCCACCAGACACCTCTGATGCAACTTGCCTTTGCAGCCGGCACCTTGCACCGCCGCTTCCACGAACCCGGCCGCGTCCAGCTCTGTACCCTCATGAACATCAAGACCGGAGGCTGCAGCGAGGATTGCTCATACTGTGCACAGTCGTCGAGGTATAATACAGGCTTGAAGGCTACGAAACTGTCGACTGTTGATTCTGTGTTGGAAGCTGCGAGGATTGCGAAGGGTAATGGCAGTAATCGCTTCTGCATGGGCGCCGCATGGCGCGACATGCGAGGCAGAAAGTCAGGGCTCAAGAACATCGTTCAGATGGTCAAAGGAGTCAGGGAGATGGGTATGGAAGCTTGCGTTACCCTTGGGATGCTCAACAAGGAGCAAGCCCTGGAATTGAAAGAGGCGGGGTTAACGGCCTACAACCACAATCTAGACACCAGCCGAGAACACTATCCTAATGTTATCACCACAAGAAGCTACGATGAGAGACTTGAGACGATTGAGAATGTACGACAGGCCGGCATTCATGTCTGCAGCGGAGGGATACTAGGGCTTGGAGAGACACCGCAAACAGACCATGTCGGATTGATCCATACACTTGCTACACTGCCATCGCACCCTGAGTCGTTTCCGGTCAATCGATTGGTGGCCATACCGAACACGCCGATGTATGGCAGTGAGCCTGTCAAGCTCGAAGACCTCGTCCGATGTATCGCAACAGCAAGATTGGTCATGCCGAAGACCATCGTCAGATTGGCAGCTGGACGAGTCGGGATGCCGGAAAGTGAGCAGATGCTGTGCTTCATGGCGGGTGCCAATGCGATCTTCACAGGTGAGAAGATGCTGACCACGCCGTGCAATGGCTGGGATGAGGATAAGGCGATGTTTGAGAGGTGGGGGCTTCAGCCCATGCATACACAGGCGAGTGAGGTACCGTCTGAGAAGGTGTTTGAGGCGAGGAGCTTCAATGAGATGAAGGAGAAAGGTGAGAATGCTCCGGTCATGGCTTGAGATTAGAGGGGTTTCAATGAGCACAAGTTCACCTTGGCTTGTGCTGTCGAATGCCGTAAAATCTGCTTCTACCTCCCCCCTCCCAAACAGCAAAATCACCTACAGTCTCTTTCACCACTTCTGTAAGCCCACAATAAGAGATCCCGAGAGCAACTGTCCACCTTGATGGAGCTGCAGGTACACTTCAGGGTTAACTAGCGTAATTATGAACGCGCACCAATGCATCTGACCTTCTCGCACTTAACCTGAGAAGCATTTTGCCTAATCAAAAATCATGCAAGCCAAAGCTCCAGCCGGAATTCCTGGAAATCATCTCCAGTCACAGTTCTGCGTAGTCAAAGCCGCAGGCTTATTCATCTTGCCACTTACCAAAGGAAAACAGTTGTAAATCTAATTCGATGACATTTATAAGCTACTATGATTCTTTATGAAGTATGAAAAGAATAAAGAAGGTGGGCGGAGAGGAGGTCTGAGCTTAACAGAGGAATCCGTTAATCATCGAAAGAAAATTAGAGTACATTCGCGATATTTGAGTTATGCTCTACTCTTGATTTACATATTTAATGATTAAGTAGAGGGTAGGTAAAGCGGTTAGTAATCATTTTACAGTTGTGACTGTTGTGCCTTCTCAAGCAGCTTTACAATAGTCTTATGTCCGTTCCCTACAGCCCAGGACAGCGGCGTCCTACCTTGGGGGTCTTTTGAGTCCACGTCTACCTTCCCGGTCTTAAGCAACAGCTTCACAACTGTCTCATGTCCATACGCTGCAGCCCGTGACAGCGGCGTCCGACTGTCACAGTCTTTTGAGTCCACGTCTACCTTCCCGGTCTTAAGCAACAGCTTCACAACCGTCTCATATCCGTTCTCTGCAGCCAGTGACAGCGGCGTCTGACCCTCAAAGTCTTTTGAGTCCACGTCTACCTTCCCGGTCTTAAGCAACAGCTTCACAACTGTCTCATGTCCATACGCTGCAGCCCGTGACAGCGGCGTCCGACTGTCACAGTCTTTTGAGTCCACGTCTACCTTCCCGGTCTTAAGCAACAGCTTCACAACTGTCTCATGTCCATACGCTGCAGCCCGTGACAGCGGCGTCCGACTGTCACAGTCTTTTGAGTCCACGTCTACCTTCCCGGTCTTAAGCAACAGCTTCACAACTGTCTCATGTCCATACGCTGCAGCCCGTGACAGCGGCGTCCGACTGTCACAGTCTTTTGAGTCCACGTCTACCTTCCCGGTCTTAAGCAACAGCTTCACAACTGTCTCATGTCCATACGCTGCAGCCCGTGACAGCGGCGTCCGACTGTCACAGTCTTTTGAGTCCACGTCTACCTTCCCAGTCTTAAGCAACAGCTTCACAACCGTCTCATATCCGTTCTCTGCAGCACATAATAGTGGCGTGTGACCCAATTTAGAACTTTTTGAGTCCACGTCTACCTTCCCCGTCTCAAGTAATAGCTTCACAATCATCTCATGTCCGTTCTCTGCAGCCCAGGACAGTGGCGTCTGATCCAACTCAGAATCTTTCGAGTCCACGTCCACCTTCTCAGTCTCGAGCAGCAGTTTTACTATAGCTTCAAGCCCAAGATATGATGCTATAGTAAGGCAGCTTTCAGAGTCAGGGATCCAAATTTTACAGATAGCGGACCAGGTCTTATATTGTCTTGATCCTGGCTCACAAAGCATTCGTGCTAATGCTGCTATTGGCTCCTTGCTCCGTATACCCGCCTTACGAAAGTGAGTAACCCAATTTCGGGCAGAGTAATCGAGCAAGACTCGAAGTGGAGTCTTAAAAAAATCTGAAGTAAGATACCAAATACATCTTTCGGCAAGTATTCTGTTTGACCCCTCTAGTTGCAGTGAATGCTTCCATTCAAGTGGATTATGCTGGGAGTTAAGGCGAGAAGGGCTCTTCAACGATGCTAAGGAATCATCCCGAACCAAAAACTCTTTCGCAGTTTGGTGAAGTAAGTAGATTTTCGCATCTACAATAACCACGAAGAGGCCGCAAAGGTCTCTAAGAGTGCCTCGGAACCTTTCTTCTGGTTCTATTTCCTGCATAACGTCGTCGTATGATCCATGAGTTTCCTCGATTGCCATTATCACCGACATCTCGTCCAAAGACAGCGGCCTTGTTGCAGCAACAACAATATGCAAGAGTCTCCTGGCTTTTTCGGTATCCGAACTTCTGTCCAAGATTCTGTTGTAAGCATCATCGACGGTTTGAGGTATTTGGCGTACTGCTTTACGGACGTTCCCTTTGGTAAAACCCGAGATGTTCTCGATCACATCTAAGGTAAGATCAACCCAGAGATAGGTCCGGTTGGGCGCAAGTGTGAGCTGATCTTGCAGAAACGTACGCTCGTCCGGCTCTAGACACCTTTTTGTACAGATATCCCCGACCCTCCTTTGGATTACGAGGTCTATCTCTCGTGAAATCTTCTCAACTTCGACCTCGTCCTCACCACTTAGGTGAATGGTAGGCAGGTGGCTCTCTAAATCCCGGAATTCACGCCGTATATGGTCGTATGGCCTGCTGGTTAACAAAATCTTTAGGCTGAACTTATTTGAATCGGCGATGTAGAGCTTTCTCACGGCCTTGATGAGCTGAGACCGATCGCTCTCCTGACACTCGTCTAAGGCATCTAGGATGCAGACGACCTCTCCAGCGTTCTGATCAGCTGCAACACTGATAAGCGTACTCCATAAATCGTGAAACGACTGAGTGAATTTATCGCCATCGGTGTCAAATCTGTCAAGTATTGAGTCTTGCAAAAGATGCGGTTTTGCCAGAAAAATCTGTCGTAATATGGCACAGACAGCATTGGTAATGCTCTTTTGCTCTGTGAAATCATCCTTAAAAAAGAAGTAACAAGTAGTCCTTTGGCTTGTGTTCGGGAGGATGTGATCTACCAGATACTTTGCTAAAACCGTCTTCCCGCTGCCTGGATCCGCCGTCACATAGAGGAGGCTAGACCTTTTGTTTTTCTTCCAGTTTTGGAAAAGATGATGATTGGTGAACCATTCACATGTACCCGGCACACGGTCACGGTTCCTTTCTTTGTGATCTTTGTAGCGACAGGTGTAAAGCATCTTGAGGAACTTTTTCGCCTTATCGTCCCGGGTTGACAATGTTTGCCGGGTCCTGTCCTTCTCTTGCGCGTTTTGGAGCTCCTCAACAGCGTACGGCAAACGATTAAGCGTATCCTCTAGTGCTGAATTGCCAGTCAGAATTCGCGTTTCATTACTAGCTGTACTAACCACTCTTTTCTCTAATGATCTCATCGACGGTACATGATCTCGCCACTTCAGCCGTAGGTATCACCGATAGGACTTCCTTTGCATACGCTGCTGCCGCTCCCGCTGCATATGCCTGCCATCTCTTGTTTTTGTGCGAGTCGGCGTAGTCGCATATGCCTCTGATAACAAGGCATGGGAAGCTGTTCATCAGGCCCGCTGCCTCCATCTCGAAGCAGAGGACGCCACCGAGCTGCGAGCTAACTTTATCCCTTTCGGTGGCATCTCTCATAACTTGATTTCCTGATGCTATTGTGCCGTAGTGGACCAAAATATCTTGAGTACGTTGCTGCCGATCCACAACGCACGCTCTGCTGCATTGTTCACATGTATCTCCTCCCTCATGATTGTAGTCTGCTTCATATAATATATCAGGTCCAGCTTTTTCACGTGCGAAGATGGGTAGGCTGTTAAGTTTACAGATATATTCCGGAAGTATACTTTTTCCTCTTGAATACTTAGCCCGCAGCTTTGCGACCGAGCTAAGTAGAATTGTTGGCGGAGTGTTAAGAAAACCAGTCCGCTCGAATCCACTTGGTGTAGCCTTTCCAGAATCGTATTGCACGACTCCCCCATGCATCATATGTGGCTTGCTGACCACTACATCTCCAAGCCGTATATCTGCCTCCACACTTGGAACGCCTCCTCCAATGCCTACCATCAGACCGAATCGGATTGACTTGAAGGCCGACTTCATCTGGACGGCGACCGCCGCGGCTGAGTTCGTTCCCGGTTGACCCTCCGGCAGACAAGCGATAACAACGTTATGTTCGCCGATGCGGCCGAGTGTGTATATATTGGTGTCATTGGCGTCGTGATCGAAGTCATCGTGTTCTTCGTCGAGCATCTCTTCCGCGGCGGCGAGTTCGATGTAGAGGGCGCATACCCATGCTACAGTGTAGTCTTCGCGACGAGGTCGACTTTGTTTTGCCATCTAGGCAATATTCGCAGGAGATCTGAGATCTTTTCGAGGAAGATTAGCCTGATTACTGGAGAAGCGATGCGTCACGACTATGCTCTGCGATAAGTAGCATCTTCCCCCAGCGGGACTGCTTGCTCAGCCTCACTGTGTAGAGATGGCGGGTTGCTCTTGCAGCTTCGCTCGGGCCGACAAAAAGTCCGGTCCAATCAGGTGGGGCTAACTGTAAGTGGGTAAGGCACCGGCAACGATTCTCCAATACAAAATAACACAAACGCGATCTACTAGCTAAGATTTTATAACTCAGAAGTCAGCCAGTTACGAGGTTTCCTAGTATATAACTACTAAATAATATGCATTGAACAGGAGGCTAATACGTATTCTGAGAGTTCAAGACAGATTGTCAGGAGCAGCAGCGGTGGCAGCAATTCTCGATACAACGCCAAGGTTTTACAGCACTTTTGCAACGCACAGTACTTAGTCAATGGGTTACTACTACTAGGCTAAAAATCTATGGGGGCCTTCCAGCTTGCACATAATCATTGTTTTCTCTACTGATAATCAGCTGAACCGCGGTCATATCACAGTAGATGAAAAGCTAGACTTCTGAAAGTGCTCAAGGGGCAGCTTGATGTCACATGAGTGTTATGGACAGACCAAATAAGGGCAAACCGATGGCATATGTGACTTTTACCCAGAACGCTAATGCCATGAGGACTTTGAAAGATGCGTCCTTTATGACCACCCAGCATGATAGATAACCAAACAAGGTGCTTTCTACAGTATTATCGTACATGTTTGCTAATTTGTTGCTGCTCAGGAATTCACATTCCAAAGCGTACTCAGTCCTACTATTTGCGCAAAGTGCGTCTGGCTTGGCGTCTTTCTCTTTCCTACCGTTCTACACAGTTCAATCACATTGATGGTAGTTGGTGCCCTTCTTGTCAATACATGCCTCAATATGAGGCACTTACTTTTCTTCGGTCTCTTTTCTCTGCTACCGGTACCAGTATTATGCTATTACGACTTTGGAGGTCCTGAAAAGAGCATTGTGGTCCCGCAGCATCCCGTTCCTCGGCCACGACAACTTCCCACAAATACCACTTTCAGGGGGCCCTCATTGATTACATCTTCGAATACACTTGGCTATACAACCTTATACACCGGCGCATATCGTGGACTTTTCGCGTTTGAGCCTCTGGTGGTCTCCTGCACTCCATGCGGGTCTTCAACCCTGCCATCATCTTCTGGCACATGCACCCCCTTCTCGTACGAAGGCGTCTTTCGCAGTAGCCAGCTCAATAGCCGTTCCTCAACCATAAATTGTTTCCCTGCTAGCTACGGTGGTGCATTCTCAACAAATTCGACGAGTACGACGATCCCGTGCTGTTCATCCTCATCAAACGTGTGTCGGTCCTCCTCGACCTCCTCTGTGTCTACGACGTATAGTGGGGTATTTAGGCCTACGAGCACAGATGGGTCTTCGTCATCGAATTTCACTTCTGTCCAAACCGTAACGTCCAGTTCTTCTGGTGCCGCGCCTGCCTCGTCTCCTTCAGATACCTTGGCAACATTGACTGCCTCCGGTTCCTCTGGGCCTACCACTAGTTTCTCGCAGAATACTATTATGTCTAGTGGTATTTCAGGATCCTCCGGCCAATTGAATACGGCTCAGTCAACTACAATTTCGGGCACAAGCACTTCCTCAGTGATCCCTGGAATATCTTCAAGCACCTCGCTGTCTTCGATCAGATCATTCATCACACCTCCTCCAAACCCTGAGACGCTTACTGGTAACGTGCTGGTGGCTTGTGGACGGGCCACAGGGTCAGGCGAAGTGTCGGGGAGCGGTACAGTATACGTTGGGGGTTATTTTCCTGTCGTGTCTTCTGGAGTGGTCAGTGGATCCTATGGAATAGTTAATGGCTGCGGCACCCTCCAGGGAGAAGGTGTCTTCACGGGATCCGCAGTCTATGGTAAAGGATGCGGTAAGGGCAGTGGCGTTGGGGAATTAAACGGTAGCGGTACGGTGTATATCGCAGGAATACCGGTTGTGACCTCGGGATCAGTGAGCGCTTCTCAACCTTACAGCTTCGAGGGATGCGGAACATTTTCTGGGAGTGGCTACTTTGAGACGTTCCCAAATACTACCTCAGGTGATAGCGCTATCTCGAGTCTTACCACTACTGAACTGTCCTCCAGCGCAGGCTCGCCAGCATCAGTATCTGCGTCAACATCTTCTACAACATCCACATCAATACCCTCTACTATCACCCCAGCGCCATCTTTCGTCACTCCGTCTAACGCCCTCGTCGTGGGGGAGGGAAGGGGGACTGGATATGGATTGCTCGAAGGCGAAGGTGGGCTCTTCATCATGTCGTCCGTAATTGAATGCTAACCAGAGACATTTAGGCACCGTTTATATAGCCGGCGGCCTGATTGGCATATCTTCAAGTGGTACTGTATCAGGAGGTGGCATAGTGACGGCGAGTCACCTTCAGATCCTATGATAGTCAAAACGCTCAACTAATACCTGAATCAACAGGGAAGAGGGACAATTCACGCCCAGGAAGGAGATTTCACTGGCACAGGTGCGGGGAAAACATGTTCGATATCGTGAAGTGAAGCTAATGACTGCCAAAAGGAAGTGTGTTTGGGTGTGGTTATGCCGTCGGAACGTGAGAAAAAAGCTCATCCATCACAATTATATTCAGCGCTAACTATGATCGTGCTCAAGGGGCATCATCATTGGTAGCGGCACTGTCTGGGTGGCCGGAGGTTTGATACCGATTGTGACATCAGGATCCACATCTGGAGGTAAGTCTCATAGAAAATGTGTACTTGGAACCTGACTAACTCAATCGAAGTTGGAACTGTCAGTGGTTGTATGTTGATTCATTGATCGCCTTTTGCAGTAATTTACAGCTAACTTTATTGGGAGGTGGTACAATCTACGGCCAGGTTCGAAACCTCTAAATTCCTTGTGTCTAGCAAGAGTGACCAAATCTAGGGTACCTTTACCATGGACGTTCGCTCGCTGGTGTACCCATCGAGTACATCTGGCACTATGACGAGCACCATCTCAGTCATACCAATAAACGTAAGATTCCCCTTCCATACTCTCGAGATATCCTAACCGTGTCAGGGAACTTCTTCAACAGCCAGCAACCTCGGGAACGGCTCTTACGGCACAATAGTGGTTATAGCATCAGAAAAGTGCTTCCCAACAAGCTTGCCGCAAATCGGCGCGTTCGGCGCATTCGGCGCACTCAACCATACCAGCGGCGTCATTCCTACGCTCAAGGGAACATCACTACCAGCATTCAACCCCAGCCTGAACCCACTGAATTTCACCAATCCCTTCAACTCCACGAGTCCCTTCGGCTCTATGAACTCGACGAACTCAACTGAGTCGGAGAGTCCACAGTGTCATATATGTGATGGCGATGTGTCGATATGCTGTCCTCCGGGCGTCACCTGTGCTGGTGATGGATTCTGTCCGAAGCTGGCGGTGCTGAACGCTGGGTACTTCTTGGAGGGGAGGAATGTTACCGCCTGAGTGATTTGGTTGTTTTTAGGAAAAGGAAAGTGACTCGGTAATGGCGATTCGGTTGCGCTCTGGAGGGCGCTGCGGCGTTGTAAATCCTGGGCTGTAATGGAGGATCATTTCCTTAATTTTTTATTCTTTTTGGAATCAAAAATCGTTGTTGTTCGATAGGACATTGCGAGATGGTGATTGGTGCTGGAGTTTGGGGGGACGCCATGCTGTCAAAGCTGCACCACTGCTACCACACTCGTGAAAGAAAGTTCGGGAATTTGTTCTATCATTATTCCTTTTTAAAGAAATCAATCTCTCCACCGCCCCCAAAAATTTCTACTTATTAGACCTTCAATCTTTTCCTCGCTGGATGCGAAATAGTCCTTCCGTGCCCTCTTCTTGCGAGATCCTCGCAGTCCATCTTAGTCTTACTAAGTTAGACCAGAGTCTGTTTTCATTTTCGCAGAACATGTTTTATTATTCCTCCATGATTTCGTACATGTCCTCCAGATATATGAGGATGATACGAGGAGCTGGAGGACGCTGTGCATCTCACCATCATGTATCTTACTGAGCAAATGTAACTCTGGAGGACATTCAGCGTGGAGTCGAGGGGTGGCCTTATGGGTTAAACCAGATGAGCGCTTTTTACCCTCTCCGGAATCAGGAATCATGACCCCCGAACTCTGTGACTGTGGAAATAAATATGTATTCTCTGCTCGACTCTAGGGGCCACTATGGCCAGGCATACCCGTATTCTAGCGCCTCTCACGTACACAGACGTACTGGCTGTACTGGCTGTACCGTACAGAATACCCTTCATCGTACCTTACCATCTCTCTGTGCTACAAGCTCATCCTGACATCCAATCAAGCCACTGATGCCCTCTTCCTCCTCTTCGCCGTCCGCCCACCCTCAAGTTCTTCGCCAGCCAAAGCAACGGTCCTCTTACCCGCCTCCACAGGCCACTCCCTCCCCATTCCAAGATTGAGCGCAGAATCCGAAATCGGCCTCAGGACCTCAATCTTCCTCTTCGACGGCGTATCCAACACACTCCCACTTCCCTCACGCTCTTCGCCATCCTCATCCTGAGACTCCGCAATCTCCAGCTCGGGATCATCCTCATAGATGACCTGCTGCGACCTCTTCGTGCGTCTCTCGGCTCTCTCCTCGATTGGCGAGAAGACGCTTGGGCGCTCTGGAGAAGTCATGCCGCTTCGGTCGGATTGGAGGATAGAGGGCTTCCAGGTATTCCTGGGCGGAGATGATGGCGGTTGTGCAGGCGTGCTGAAGAGGCGTCGAAATGGATTGTTGAACAGGAGTCTTTTGAAGGTGGGGCCGGAATATGGCGGAGTGAGTGGCTCGAAGGGTGGTGGCGTATCACTGCGTTGTGTTGAGGCCGAACCCTTTCCACGGCTGGGTGGAGGTGTCATGAGGGATGAATCAGGTTCTGCTTTCATGACTTCGGGCTTCCATGGTGTTGCTGTCATGGTCCGGCGCCTGGTCGGGACTTCAACAACAATCTTGGGTCGCTTCGACGGTGTAGGAGAGTCATCCGTAGTGCATTTCCTCTTCTTGGTGGTAGGCTTCGTAGTTTTCAGATCCAGCTCGCCTTGTCGCCACCACAAGTCTTGTCGCCTCCTCTTCAAGTCCATCACCCAATCGTCACAGTCCATGGCCACATATGAATCAATCACATTTTCCCAGACACTTTCTGCCGGTTTGGTCCTGTTCACGAAGATGACCTTTCCTTTGCCATCCTTCCGGGCATGGATCTTCTTCGCGAATTCTCTAACCACTTTCTGCAGTCCATGGACTTTCAGCGAGGTGCCCATGATGATCAGAATTTCCGGCCCGCTACCCAGGTCGAATGGAACAAGTGGCGCTAGCAGCTGATTCGAAGGATGCTCCTCTCCATAAAGCACAATGTTGGGTCGCAAGGAGCCAACAGCGACGCCGCGCTTGCCTCTCTCTTGCCTGTCGCAACTCTTTCTGGCGCATACTGAACACTCCGGAGCCAGTCCATTCAGAAATCTTTCAGTCATCTCTTCGGTCCATGGACTTCTTTCCAGGCATAACGTGCACCGTAGGACCTCTAGATCTCCATGCAAAGGCACAACTTCGCATCCACCATCTGCATCGCTGTTTTGTGCTGCCTCAGGACGTGGCGCTTCCCATACTTTCTTCATAAACCTCTTCTTGGTGCCTTTGCCATGGCCTAAGTCCATGGACAAATTCTCCCGTCGTTCAAGTCCGTCTATGTTCTGCGTATAGCACCGCATTAATCTACCTCCATCCCGCAAAGTGCGTATGAATTTGTGAGTCGGACTTGTTTCCTTCACTTCGTCCCGAATCTTCTGTCGCAACGATGCAATGAAACGATAGAAGACTTCGGTGGTGTGGGCATTTTTCCAGACACTTGCGTCGAAGAGGTCTTGTCCTTTAAGTTTCGAGGTGGGAGAGACAGTTACTCGGCTGCTAGTAGTCGGCCTGGAGGAAGGGAAGTACTCCTCAGAGGAGTAGCGACTTCTGGACGGCGTAGAAGGCATCGAGGACATAGGAGTGGGTGTTTGTTCTGGTATGAGATTATAGAGACCGTCCTTAGAACGAAAGTCCTGCACATATTGTGAGCTCAACAAACTGCCGCTCGGAATTCAAGCCTTACAGGAATACCACAACTTGTGCTGATGCCGGCGCCAGTGATGAGTAGTATTTTGTGCGATTTGACCATGCGGTCGGCAATGTCTTGGAGGAGTCTGTCGTCCTGCGCGCCAATTTCTTGAAGAGGCATATTTGGGTATTTGAAGCTATGGATTACTGAAATGAGTGCCTCTTAAGCTGTAGGAGGACAGCATATATTGTTTAGAAAGCAAGAGCAAACTCCGCTGTGATGCTGCATTTATTGGCAGATTTCGAAGGGTAAGGTGCTCGATTATGTGCTTGTACAAGAATGGATCGCACTTGACAATAGGCGTGAATTTGTGTGGCCTTGGCTGCGTGGGGGGTCCAGCTCTGCAATTGAATTGTGCAGGTGAAAAGTGAGGAGGCTGGGAGAGTCACTGAATCATGCTATTGTTGTCAATTGATTGACGGTATTGGGGTGTTTGGAGTGTTTGTGCCTACATACTTGATGCAGTTTAGACGCAAACGCCTTGGCCTGCCAGCGTGATGGTTTCGCGCCAGGATGAATAAAGATCTTCCTGATCTTCCGCCCGGCTTCCCAATAAGAATACTCCATCCTCCGTCCTAATGTGAGACTTCAGATCACGCATTGACAAGGCGGATGGATTTCTTTCTCTCCGTTTGCAGCCTGAAAGCCTTGGAGTGCTCATCTCATCTCATCTCATCTCGGCAGAGACCTGAATGGAAGGTCTTTTCGCGGTCCTGTGCCTTCTCCTATCCTCCTTCTTTTCGCGCCTTCTCGCTTCTCAGCAAAGCCAGCTTCTTCCAAGCTTTGACCATGTTCCTCCCAGCTCTCCACGTATCTGGTTATTGAATCGCGCCAGTCAACGAGATCAGCCCTGTTCTTGCGCTTCATCATGCCCGCCACTTCTTCCCCGGGCCTCAGCTTCTCCACATGCGCCACTTCAATGTCCTCCAGCTTTGCCCACCCCAGATCATGATACAGTTGCAGCTCTTGACGTCGGCTGTACACCTGATCCAAGTTCTCCAAGCGACGGTCTTGGTCGTCTTCACATAGCTCTTCGTCAGACGATTCGGTACTCGACTCAGTGTCATCATTTTCTTCCATTTCTTCCATGACTTCATCTGTGGATGTTGTCGCGTCTCTACTCGGTTCAAATCGGTCGGAGCCGAGGACATCCGAATCATCAGTGTCTTCAGACATGCCGGATTCTGTCACATGGTCTGAATCTTCAGACACACACAGGGAACTAGATGCACTTGTATGAGATCTACGTCCTCTATGCGGTGCTAGCGTCTCGCCGAGAATACTCTCAACCTGGTCATAGGTGAGTAAGGTTCGTCGTCCTCGGTCTTTCTTACGATAATCATTGACGACGTTCAGTTGGTTCCTTTTCGCGAGCCCAAGCCAAAATTGAGAGCGATCATCTGGAAGACCCAATATACTGATAGCAGCAGCCACATCTTGTGCCTTGACGAGTGCCTTCGCCGTGTAAGCGCGGTCCCTTGTAGTGCGAATCCGTGATTCTGCACAAAAAATTGATGTCTGCGTTATCTTTCGTAGCTGATGGATAGCTATCTCATAGAGATCGGATATCGCTCCCTCAGTTATAGCTGGCACCTCATCTTCAGCTGCATAGCTAGTCCAGTTATTCTCCGTACGAGTAGGGTCAGAATTCATGAAGACTTGTTCCGTTAACGACAACCATGACGACAGCCTGAACATGCCTTTTGCAGGTATCGAGAATTCAGTCGACAGACTAGCATCAGATGAAATGCCGCCTTCAGTATGGTCGACCAATTCATCATATGCTTTGGCTTGGACATCATCAACTAGCCAGCGGCCCTGGTGCATCTGCTCTCCAATGGCATGGTCGTATCTATCTTGGTAGACGGTCAGAGCCTCCGCTGCCTCTTCCAGTAATGCTTCGCTCTCAATGCTTAGCTCTGCAGCAGCTGGTATATCAGCGTGGCTAATGTGATCAACTTCCGTTGAGTAAAGATGTCTGTACTTGTGCTCTTCCTCTAGTAGCCGTAGGTACTCGTAAACCTCCAATTCAGACTTTGATCCGATGATGGTCGCAATACCGCGTATGTCGGCCTTGGATCTCCTCGACAAAGCAAGGAAGAACCGCTCCTTCTCCAAACTCGACCAAGTAGTTGAGCCAAGCTGTGTAGATCCAAGATCATCTTTCACGAGGTCATGGTCGTTAAGACTGCTCTCGTTCAGGAGATTGAGGTATTGGTCGTTGTAATGGCTCTGAAGGCGGTTCCATCGCTCTTCTCTAGACTCGGTGCCATTCCTCTTTCTATGCGTGGCGAGATGTGCATTGTTCGAATGCTTGACCACCTTCAATGCTTCGGTGGAGCTAGGTGGGAATGCGGGCTTGACAAACTCATCTGCGCTTGATTCTTCTTCGCCGGCTTCTGCTGGATCTTCGTAGCTGGAGTCGGTGTCCATGGTTGGGCGAGTACGAAGCCGCGCACGACAAGCAGTCATGCGACAACGGTACCGCGGGCTCTACGCTTATGTTGATTGCTTCCAGCATATTGATTAGATGGTACTAGTCTGATATTGAGAAGATAACGGTAGTTCTGTGGTTGCTACTCACCCAGTATGGCCCTCTGCATTATGCTGCAGCCTGGAAAAAGAGAGTGGGCTCCTAGTTTGCTATGTTTGCAACCCCAATTGCCTCTTTCGGTACTGTACGGTGCTGTACTTTGCTGCCTCTCCTCTGTACATCTTTCTAGCTTACAGCCCGCTTCGCATCATCGCACCATGAAGCATGCTCAAAGCTCCTTTCTGGCTCCCGAGGACTTTAAGAACAGCCAGAGCACTGACAAGGGCTGCGGCAGCGCGGCGGCCACTTGCTACCACTCTTACCCATGCTATCCCTTCAGCGCCGCAGGAAGCAATTCGCCTGCGCCAGTATCAGGAGGAATGCATTCAATCAGTCCTCTCATACCTTGAGAAAGGTCACAAGCGCTTGGGCATATCTCTAGCAACTGGAAGCGGCAAGACGGTACGAGTCTCTGCCTCCAAGGAGACCTTGAAAAGCTACTGATACGACGAGCAGGTCATATTTACTCGACTCATTGATCGCGTGCAATCCCAGACAAGCAATGCTGATCAGACGCTCATCCTCGCTCATAGACGCGAGCTTGTCCAGCAAGCGGCGCGTCACTGTGAGAAGGCGTACCCTGAAAAGAGCATTGAAATAGAGATGGGCGAGACCCGAGCATCTGGCGCTGCAGACATTACGGTGGCGTCAGTTCGAAGTCTTGTCTCCGGGGATAGACTGTCCAAATTCGAGCCTTCGAGGTTCAAACTAGTCCTCGTCGACGAAGCACACCACATTGTTGCGCCTGGGTACATGCAAGTCCTGGAGCATTTTGGCCTCGAGATACCACGAGAGACAGGGCCTGCCCTGGTGGGCGTGTCTGCAACATTCTCAAGATTCGACGGCTTGCGCTTAGGAGCAGCCATCGATCATATCGTCTACCACAAGGACTATATCGACATGATCGGAGAGAAATGGCTTGCCGATGTCATGTTCACAACAGTCAAGTCACGAGCGAATCTCTCCAAGGTCAAGCTGTCAAATGATGGAGATTTCGCAACAGCACAGCTGGCGAAGGCGGTCAACACTCCGGAGAACAATGAGATCACCTTCAAAGCATGGCAAGCAGAAGCTGGTAGCCGCAAATCCACATTGGTCTTCTGTGTCGACCTAGACCATGTTTCCAATCTAACCTCAGTCTTTCGGCAACATGGCATTGATGCTCAGTACATCACTGGCTCCACAAAGAAGCGTATACGCGGAGAGCGACTCGATTCATTCAGAGAGCGCAAATTCCCTGTCCTGCTCAACTGCGGCGTATTCACCGAAGGCACCGATATACCCAACATCGACTGCGTTCTCCTTGCTAGACCAACAAAGTCTCGCAATCTTCTTGTGCAGATGATCGGACGTGGCATGCGTCTGCATCCTGGCAAAGATAATTGTCATGTTATTGACTTGGTCTCGTCCCTAGAAACAGGCATTGTGTCGGTGCCCACCCTCTTCGGCCTCGATCCATCCGAGATCGTAGAGAAAGCCACTCCAGCTCAAATGAAAGACCTCAAAATCCGTCGTCTCGAAGAGCAAGACTCTTTGAACCGAGGAACACCAAGCCCATCACCATGGTCATCTGCCTCAGCCGACATATCCGACTACCGCCTAACCATAACCCACTACGACACAGTCCAAGACCTAATCGACGACACTTCGGGCGAGCGACACATCCGTGCCCTCAGCGCTAACGCCTGGGTCCAAACCTCAGACACGAAATTCGCTCTCAGCGCCAGAAACGGCGTTCTAACCGTCGAACTCGACGCTGAATCCTCCTCCCCCTCCTCCTCTTCTTCTTCTACCACCAATAACGACAGAAAATTCCTCGTAATCTACAAATCCACCCTCCCCC